CGAAGTCGACGAGCCTGCTGATGAGGATGTTGTGGAGGTTTTTCCACCTCCCCCTGTTCTTGCTCCTCCCTCCCCCGTCGCAGATCGGCCTGCGTCGACGCCTGTCTCGGCCGCCGGCTATGAGGGGAGCCTTGAGGCGTCGCCTGTGGCGCCGGCCAGTGGCATCGCCGGCGGTCGACAAGGCGCCCAGCTCGTCGACCAGGACAGGAAGCCGTCGACGACAGGGGATCAGCAAACAGGGGAGCCGGTCGAACAGGAGGCAGGAGCAGAGGTGCAGTCGACAGGGGAGCAGCAGACGGGGCGGTCGCCAGGGGAGCTGTCGAAGTCAGCAGGAGGAGAGCAGCCGGTCGAAGGGTCGAAGCAGCTGGTCGACGACGAGGACGTCGACGAGGAAGGGGAGCGGTCGGCAGGTGAGGAGTCCACCGACAGCGACGTGGTGGAGGTGCCGATCACGAAGCCTGAGCTGCGACGCACAGGTCGAACTCGACGACCGCCAGAACGGCTGAGCTTCCACGCCTGCCTACCGCCAGCTGCCTTCACCACGGTGTACGACGAGGTCGACGACGACCTGTTGTACGACGACGCGGAGGAGGATGAAGAACTACCGGAGCTCGACCCTGACGTGCATGCCGACCCCGAACACCGCTGGGACATCGCCACGATGACGGTGAAGGAGGCGTTGGCGAGCTAGAAGGGCGAGGCGGTGAAGGCCACCATGGAAGAAGAGATCCGCAACCTCATCGGCATGGGCACTTGGGAGTTGGTCGAACACCCACGCGGGGTGAACATCATGAAGAACCGGTGGGTGCTGACGACTGTACCGCATCGACGACACCGTCGAGCGCGAGAAAGCGAGGCTGGTCGTGAAGGGCTTCACGCAGGTGTACGGCGCCGACTACGACGAGACGTACTCGCCGGTGAGCAGCTACGTCACGCTGAGGATCTTCCTCAGCATCGTTGCCGTCCTCGACCTCAACCTGATGCAGCTTGACATCAAGAAAGCTGCACTTCCTGCACATGTGCGGATCCTTCCGCGTTTTTGGGCTGGAAGCGCTCGTTCCGGGCGTTTGTGGCTGCACTTTTCTGGGCCTATTGCCAAGCCAGTAAGGGCGTGGGAGGGTTGCGAGCATCATCGGTCATCAGCGATCGCGAATGAAGAGCGCCCGCTGCACTTCCTGCACATGTGCGGATCCTTCCGCGTTTTGGGGCTGGAAGCGCTCGTTCCGAAGGTTTTTCTTCCGCCGGGTCACGTGTCTGCGCTTGTTTGGGCCTTTTGCCAAGCCAGCAAGGGCGTGAGAGGGTTGGGAGCATCATGTGTCATCGGCGCTCGCAAATGAAGAGCACCCGCTGCACTTCCTGCACATGTGCGGATCCTTCTGCATTTTGGGGCTGGAAGCGCTCGTTCCGAACGTTTTTCTTCCGCCGGGTCACGTGTCTACGCTTGTTTGGGCCTACTGTTAAGCCAGCAAGGGCGTGGGAGGGTTGCGAGCATCTTCGGTCATCGGCGCTCGCGAATGAAGAGCGCCCGCTGCACTTCCTGCACATGTGCGGATCCTTCCGAGCGTTTTGGGGCTGGAAGCGCTCGTTCCGAGCGTTCTTCTTCCACCGGGTCACGTGGCTGCGCTTGTCTGGACCTATTGCCAAGCCAGCACGGGCGTGGGAAAGTTGCGAGCATCATCAGTCATCGGCGATCGAGAATGAAGAGCGCCCGCTGCACTTCCTGCACATGTGCGGATCCTTCCACGTTTTGGGCCTGCAAGCGCTCATTCCGAGCGTTTGTGGCTGCACTTGTCTGGGCCTATTGCCAAGCCAGCAAAGGCATGAGAGGGTTGCGAGCATCATCGGTCATCAACACTCGCGAATGAAGAGCGCCCGCTGCACTTCCTGCACATGTGCGGATCCTTCCGCGTTTTGGGGCTGGAAGCGCTCGTTCCGAGCGTTTTTCTTCCGCCGGGTCACATGGCTGCGCTTTTCTAGGCCTATTGCCAAGCCAGCAAGGGCGGGTGAGGTGTGAGAGCATCATCGGTCATCGGCGCTCGCGAATGAAGAGCGTCCGCTACACTTCCAGCACATGCGCGGATCCTTCCGCGTTTTGGGGCTAGAAGCGCTCGTTCTGAGCGGTTTTCTTCCGCCGAGTCACGTGGCTGCGCTTATCTGGGCCTATTGCCAAGCCAGCAAGGGCGTGGGAGGGTTGCGAGCATCTTCGGTCATCGGCGCTCGTGAATGAAGAGCGCCTGCTGCACTTCCTGCACATGTGCGGATCCTTCAGCATTTTGGGGCTCGAAGCGCTCGTTCAAAGTGTTTTTCTTCCACCGGGTCACGTGGATGCGCTTGTCTGGGCCTATTGCCAAGCCAGCAAGGGCGTGGTAGGGTTGCAAGCATCATTGGTCATCGGCGCTCGCAAATGAAGAGCGCCCGCTGCACTTCCTGCACATGTGCGGATCCTTCCGCATTTTGGGGCTGGAAGCGCTCGTTCGAGCGTTTTTCTTCCGCCGGGTCACGTGGCTGCGCTTGTCTGGGCCTTATGCCAAGCCAGCAAGGGCGTGGGAGGGCTGCGAGCATCATCGGTCATCGGCGCTCGCGAATGAAGAGCGCCACGTGCACTTCATGCACATGTGCGGATCCTTCCGTGTTTCGGGGCAGGCTCACATCACTCGTCCTCCCTAGCGAATCAGGAGAGAAGCAGAACAAGGCACCTTGGCTATGTTTTTCACAGCGCGGAAGCGGCTTGCGTGTGCTTTGTTCCAAAAGGCTGGGAGTGGTTTCGATGGGTTCACGCTTGGGTTACGTCACTTGTTTGGTTATCTCGGGAAAATGAACGAATGCGTGCCGAGGTCTCCGCAGGTATCCTTGATTGGAACTTGGGGTATCCCTCCTTGGGGTAACCTGTTGGGTCCTAGGGATAGAGATTTCGTCGAACAATATTTTGGGATGAAGGGACTATGAGATTGCCTATTGTGTGTCAGCACAACCCGCTGGCACGTCCTACGAAGGGCTGACAAAAACCCACTAGGTCAGGTTCAAGCAGGAAAGCATTAGGGAAGTAGGAAAAGATAGCAAAGAAGATTCTGTCTCCAAACTTCATATACCCCGTCCGCTCTTGGAGGGCGTGGTTTCGGGGCCCTAGGCCAGCCTAGACATGGTCGGGCAAAAAAAAAAAAAGTAGAGGATATTCGACTCGCGATGGAGCGTGTTACATACGTCGTCAGCTTGTGACGGTCGACCCAACCGGGCAATCTGGAATTTGGAAAAACTTACGTATAAAGCGGTGGTAAAATACCCCACCTTGGTATTGTACGATGTTCTTCGGTTGCTCAGACAGCTGATCGGTCGCCCCGACCAGCCACGAAAAGCAGGGGTACGTAACACGCCCTTGTGAGTGCGCGAATTTCACGAACGGTATGAAATGAGCTGTGTGTGTCGTGGCTGCGTTCCGCCATGCTTGGGGTATCTGTGGGTAGAATGTCAAGCTGCTGCTGGGTTGCCATTTGCGTCAAACAGTTTCGTTTCGACAAGCAGCGGATCTAAACGCTCGGAACCTCAATTGATCTCACTTGATCGCAGCAAGCCTCACTGAACCGCGGATATTTCGACTTACAATTTGTTCATCCGTCCCTTGTTACCACATCTCGTATTTCCTTGTCTCGCAGATCGCCCGTGAATGTCCAGAGAGTCGCCAGCGAAGCGCTCGTGCACACAACACGCGGTTACATCCATTCGTTATTCTCGTGTCGTGACCGATAGCTGTGCAGTTATACGGCCAATTGACGGAACTACGGTACAGGGTGCAGTGTAATGCTTGTAAAACCTATTTCAACAATCCGTTTTCTTCCCTACGGTATGGTTCCCAGGCCCTCATATTCACTTTTAGGCACGTAAGTGCATCAGGGTCCCTCTGTGTAGCATCCCTGATCGACAGTGTCCCAAAAAAAAAAAGAATGAAAGTTCAGTGTTGCCAAAAAAAAAGTCTGATGCATCAGTATTCCCCACAAACAAAGCCTGGTGTTATTAAAAGTCTCTATAATAGTTAGAAAACACTAGGGTTCAGCCTTCTACTCTCTAATCTAAACCATAGTCTAGCTAGCTAGCTAGGTAGCTAGGCAAGGCATGTGTTATGTGATGCTATCACTTGCATTCACGTCCGTCTGCCTCCCATCACATGTTTGTGCATTGCATGCATGGTGTGAGCGTGTGCAAGAATTTGTGTTTGATGTGGTTTGGATTTCCTGAATATGTGTGAATGCTATTTGGCTTGAGCAGATATCTGAAGTGACTCCTCTGCTCAAGAGCTTTCCGACGAACCAAGAATCGTCGCGATCGAAGCAAGAACGAGGAAGTTATGATCGTTCAAAGATTTGTTTGTGATGCGACGACTTTGGGAAGTTGTGAAGTGACTCAATATGGGGTACAGACTTTTGGGGGTTGGGAAATTCTTCATCACTGTAGATGCTGCCAAGTGGTTGGGAGGAGCCAAACCAGGTTCGCAAGTGTGGCCAAGTTGGGCAAGGTGGATGGCATGGGTTGGGAAAGTGACAAAAGTGAAAGTGGGGTTGCCTATGGAGAGGGGAATTGTGTGGCATGGGGTTTCCTTGGTTGGGGACTCTCTTGGGACATTCCCTCTCGTCCTCCTCATCCCATCCCACCTGGTTTATTGCTACTCTAACTCTCTTGTTTAGTAATTGTGAAATTGTGAGACTCTTATCATTGAGTTAAGTTCTCATGGCAGCATACCCCCCTGTGCGCCGAAATTGATAAGTCGAGATTTACTTCACGTCTTGATACGATTCAAATTGGGAATTGTAGCCACGGAATAGGGCTACAACATATCTGAGTTTGGTGAAGTTTTGACCGTGAACTTTTTGTCGACGGCGGTTCTTGTGAACTCGACTTTTCTGTCCAGAAACTAGGCCCAACGATTTTGAGATATTTCGGCTCCTAATCTTCATAGACTCCGTCCTTAGTCTCTAACAGCATGAAGCATAGCATTTCTATGGGCGAGTTCAATAATCATCATCAGATGAGGCCTGCTTGTCATTGTCATCGTCATCATCACTTCCCTTAGCCCGCGGTGCTTCCAACTCCTCCTCAACTGCCTCCTTTCCCTTGCCACCACTGCCCTCCCCCTCTCTTGCTGAAGGTGCCGCCACATTGCCAAGTGGGTGGCGCTTCTTGTAGCTGCGCCAGATCTGCACCACCTCATCGTAGTTGGGCGCATACTCGAGGAGAGACATCGTGATCAGGTCTTCAAGGCGGGCGTCTTTGAGGCTCCCCCGCTGCCACGATTTAGAAGGCCTAGGAGTTGATGGTGACAACTGCGTGCCTGCGGTGGCGGGCGTCGATCGTTGGTCGGCAGGCGAAGTCGGTGTTGCTCCTGCGTTACCTACCTTCTTGCCCCACGTCAGCGTTGACTGCGTGTACCTGGCGATCTTCTTAGCCACTGGTACCGCCGCAGTTTCTTCAACAGAAGGGTTGGAGCTGTCTTGCTCCAACACTGGCTCTGTAGGGGAGGGACACAAAGGCTCATCTATGGGTTCGAATGGAATATCGACGGGCGGCGCAACAACAAGCGCCTTTCCATGGTTATCGACTTGCGCGAAGCTGGAGAAAAGCAGATCCAGGCCGGTAACTGCATCGGAAATATCAACTGGCGAACGACGATGGGCATCATCGCCGTGGTCGCCAGTTTGTTCAATGGCGTCCGGGTGGTCCGCCATTGATTGCAGCGCTACTAAGCAGCATCTAACGGGACTTACGAACTTGCCTAACGAGAAAAAGGATAGAGGTTTGCCAGGAAGAGGAAACACACGGCTGACTGCCTCTTGGTACACCAGGCAGCAACGCAATGAAACCCCAAGCGGATGGAAGGAAGGCATGAGGCAGAATGGGATGGGAGCCTGGATGGCAGGTAGCACGGCTGGGCGGCGCGGATGCATCAGCGCTTGCTAGCACGACCTAGACAAAACGGGCCACTGGCCTGTGGGTGCAACACATGGGACAGAATCCCTTGCATCGCAGCCTGCCAGCATCGCTGTGCTGCAACCTTGTAATTGGTCAAGTCACATAATGCTGCAAATGTGGCCAATGATCGGACCAGGCGCGCCAACTAAGCAACCATCAATGTGGGCAAATTTGTCCGGTGGTCACCGCCAGGCCTTGCTAGCACCGCGGGAATCTGATATTCCCTGTACTTCCGGCCAACTACCTACACTCGGACCATGTAGGAATCGCTTTCAGGGTCATATTCGTTACAACGTAATGGCATCAGTGTCACTAAAAAAAATTCCTGAAATTTCAGAGTCATGTGGCATGTAAAGGCTGAAAAATCAGCCCCACAAAAAGCTGAACACTGGAAATTCAGGGAAAAATTCTTGATATCGTAGGGCCTGATGGTTCCCGTTTAATTCCTCAGCCCCAGGCCCAGAGCTTCCGTGCTACTGTACCAAGCTTCTCTCCTTAGACAACACCACCGGCCATCAGGATATTGTACTTTTTCTTGCTCTTTTCAGCAAGTGGCTGGCAAGGAGAGAGGGATGTCATCATCAGGTGCCTAAAATACTTGCAAAGGACCTTATAGCATTGTAGGTTGTTGGTGCACCCTTGATATCCGTTTATGTAACCTCCTCCTCAGATGTTTGTAGTGCAGTACAATTACAAAGGAAGTGCGCCCAATTTTATTGTTACACCCTTTCATCGGACTGTACAATCCTACATCACTGCATTTTTACTGTTCAGCCCTAAGTGGAGAAAATATGTGGTTGAGAATACGGCCAAGGCGCACCCCACCCATTGCAATGCGCCTCTCCACAACGGGCAGGCGAGACTTGAAATACTCATCTTTGGAGTTTGATGAAGAAGTGGATGGTGCAGTGCGGTGAAATTGAGGACAAGGATGGGTAGGAGGGCGGGCGGAAATAGGAGGCAATGCCGGGTTTAAATGGTTGGTAGAGAAGGGCCTTTGCGAAAGGAAGAGCACCGTTGATTTGAACGGCATATGGAGAGGAAAAAAAACAACTTTGGTAGGTATGGCGTGCGGAAGTGGGGAAACGTCAGAACTGTATGCTTTTTGCATCTCTTAAACGAGCCTAGGAAATAACGAGTGGAATTTCACACATGAGCAACGTCCGTGCCTGACAAGCAATGGTTTTTTTCTTCCTGAAGACAATTTGCATGCACAAAGACAGACCTCCAAGCATGGCTCCAGGTGTCGCGTTGCGATAGGCCCACTTGCATGCATCCTTTGCGCTCTCCATGGCATATCTGATTGGGCGAGGCGATGCAAGGAGATGCGAGCAGATGCGATGAGATTCGCAGATGGGCCAGAGTGTGCCTTTTGAGGCGCCTCAAAAGATGGGTGGAGTGAGGGGGCGCCAGTCAGAATCAAGTGCGTGGAGGGCAGAGGCACTTACACAGCTTTGCAGGCAGCAGCTTGAGCAGGCGAGAGCACCAATGGTGATTCAGCAGCAGCAGCACCCGGAGTCTCACCAGCAGCATCAGTAGGTGCAGGAGAAGGGACATCGCCAGGGCAGGAGGCCCAGGTAGGAATGTGAGGGCGCCAGTCAGAGGCGATATGTGGTGAGCAGAGGCACTTACACAGCTGGGCAGGCAGCAGCCTGAGCAGGAGGAACGGTCGATGCTGCATCAGCAGCAGCAGCACCACCAGGATAAGAACGATTATCCCCAGGGCAGGAGGCCCAAGCAGGGATGAGAGGGCGCCAGTCAGAGGCGAGTTGGTGGGCGATGTGATGCAGCATGGCGGTGCTGCTGCCGTTGTAGTGCCGGTGGATGGCCGTGGCTATGATGTAGTTGTCCCACACCTGGAGGGATGTGAGGGAGTTTGGGAGGCATGGAGAGGGGTTGGGAGGGGTGGGAGGGTGAAGGGACCAGGGCATGAGGGTTGGTTGGCGATGTGATGCAGCATGTTGGTGTGACTGCCATTGTAGTGCAGATCGATGGCTGAGGCCTTGATGTAGTCGTCCCACACCTGGAGTGGAGAGCGGTGGAGAGGGGTGGAGAGGGATGGAAAAGGCTTCAGTAGGGATTAGAGGCCAGTCAGAGGCGAGTTGGTGGGTGATGTGATGCAGCATGGCGGTGTGACAGCCATTGTAGCGCAGATGGATGGCCGAGGCTATGATAAAGCTATCCCACACCTGATGCAGAGCGGTGGAGCACGGTGGAGAAGTGTGAAGAGGAGTGGAGAGGGCGGAGAGGACATAGAGGACATAGAGGACATAGAGGGCACGGGTGATGAGGTGCAGTATGGCAATGCAGCTGCTGTTCGCATGGCATGGGATGGCATGGCATGCCATGGCATGGGATGGCATGGCAAATACCGCATGCAGGTTGGTCTTCCTCTTGAACCATGTCACATGCACCCTGTTGCCTTTAGAGGAGCCTCGACAGCCATGCCATGGCACGGCGGACAGAACTGATGGCCGGGAATGGCATGATAAGGCAGGGCGAACATACCACATGCATGGGAGGGCAGGCGAACATACGATACGACATGGCAGGGAATGGCATGCCAGGGAATGTCAAACATACCGCATGTAGGTTGGTCTTCTGCTTGAACCATGTCACATGTGTTGAGTGCAATACATGGTTTGCACGGCAACCTACCGCCTATTCGCCGACGGTAAAAGAAAATGGGGAGTTTTGTTTGAAGGTGATTTGTGGCGTGAGAAATGTAATTTCATTTTGCATTTTGTGTGTGCGCATTTTGTTTGTGTTATGTGCGCATTCGTCCTTGCATTTTGTGTGTTTCGTTTTCATTTGTAATTGCACTTTGTGTTTGTGCATTTTCAGTTTCGTGTTCACTGTTCTCATGATGCGCTCAAATGAGGCTCACATGATGCGCTCAAATGAAGCTCTCATGAAGCGCTCATGAAGCGCTCAAATGAGGCTCCCATGACGCGCTCAAATGAAGCTCAAATGAAAGCTCAAATGAAAGCTCTCATGAAGCTCCAATGAGCCTCAAATGAGCTTCCCATGAAAGTCCCATTTGTTTTTCATGTTTCATGCGTGTCCCATGCGAGCGGGTGGTGTACCATGGGGCGTTTCTGTGGGGCTCGACACTTTGACTCGTCAAAGGGGGTGCTGTTGACTTTCGCGCTGGTCAAGCACGCAAAATCTTGACCGCGCGTGTGGTCCTGATTTCGCGTGTGGGCCCTGAGGGCCCGAGCGTGTGCTCGCGCACTGTTGCGAGCGTGGCAGGGCCCACGATCGCAACAGGACAGGGCGAATGATCGCCCTGTCCACGCGCAGTACAGCACGACCAGTTTGTCTGGTCGTGCATGATTGCGCGCCTGAGGGGTGCGCGTGTGTTTCGAGTGGGTGCTGCGGGATTCCGAAGGTTGCTCGGAATTTACAGTTGAAAAACTGTTTTTCGGAGTTGACTCACGGAACAAGAAATTGCGCACGAAAGTCACACCGCTTTGCGGAATGATTTCGACGCAGGTACAAAACGGTTATTCCGTTTTCTCAACGGTAAAAACCGTTTTACAACTGTTTGCTCGCATGAAATTCATGAGTGCCAAATTGGAGCTACATTGGAACTCATGAGTGCACTCATCTGAGTCAGCAAGGTAATTGTCATATGTGGAATTTGAAGACAGGTATTTTCAAGAGGAGAATCAAGTCAAATTCGCAAGGAGTTGAGCAACCGTTTTCAAGTACAGCATGGCGAATGTCCGAAATTCAGTTTTACAACTACTTTGCTATTTCCCTATGCATGTGTGCTATGCGAAATATAAAACGTGTGCTTGTGCTTGATTGTGCTCAATCCTTTCTAGTGGAAATATTTTCTGAATCTCTTCGACGAGTTAAGTTGCTCTATCAAAGTATTGACGTGAAGAGCTTTTCTGCACACGAGCCAATCCGTCGTCGAATGCTGCGCAACAAAGTTTGGGAAAGCTCTTGTACGCACGATAATTTTCATACTTAGGGAAATCCCTCTTCAAACATGGACCCTTGGATAGGGGCTGGTTCTACCAGGCACCCAAGGACCCTTGGAGGTGACCCCGTGGGGACTACCTAGTGTTGATTAAAGGTGTGTTAAGAGCCTCTTCATCCCAAATAACGGTCAACAACATGCACCCTGCTGCCTTTAGAGGAGCCTCGACAGTCATGCCATGGCAGGGCAGATAGAACTCATGGCCGGGAATGGCATGGTAAGGCAGGGCGGACATACCACATGCATGGGAGGGCATGGCGAACATACGACATGGCAGGGAATGCCATGCCAGGGCATGTTATACATACCGTATGCAGGTGGGTCTTCTGCTTGAACCATGTCACATGCACGCTGTTGCCTCCGAAATCAGATGTGAATCCCAAGTGCAGCGGCTGCACCAGGGAATATGAAGCAGACGGATGGAGGCATGGGGGAGAGAAATTAGAGGACCACGTGCAGCGGCTGAAGCAGGGGGGTGTGTTTTGAGTCGACTCAAAACAGAGAAATTAGAGGGCCATGTCACGTGCACCCTTTATTGCCACCCAGGTCAGATGTGAATCCCACGTGCAGCGGCTGAAGCAGGGGCACGTGGGACAGATGGGTGGAGGCATGGAGGGGGGGGAGGGAGAGGGAGAGGATTGGGAGACCACGTCACATGCACCCTGCTTCAGCCACGTGACATGAGGCAAACGGATGGAGGCATGAAAAAGAAGGGGAATTGGGCGACCATGGCATCTGAGCCAAGCTAACATCTGAGCTTTGAGACGTCTAATAACGACCATCCTCACCTGGTGAATGTCCCCAACATGAGCGCCTCTGTCAGGTTGTAATGTTTGATGGACCCCGCGCACAGTGCTGCTCGCTGCTCACTAGCAGCAGCAGCACCACCAGCAGCAGCACCAGCACCAGAAGCAGCAGCAGCCGCCGCAGCTGCAGCAACAAGCGAGGCATGAGCAGCACTCCTCGCACTATTCCGTACCACTCCCCTTACCACCCGCACCATCTCCTCTTCCCCTTCTCCCACTTCCCCTTCTCTCTCTTCCCCTTCTCCCTCTTCCCCTTCTCCCTCCTCCGCTTCTCCGTCCTCCTCACCCATTCCCAGCACCCCAGATTCTGCCTCACCTACCCCCCTGAGAAGGCTGCGCCGGTGAGGGGAGGTGGGGAAAGTGACAGGCTTGAAGGGAGTGGCGGGTTTGAGGGAGGATGGAGGGATGGAACGCTGGCGAGAGGAATGGGGCTGTGCGGAGGAATGGGGAGAGTAAGTGAGGAGCTGGGATGTGTAGTTGACGATAGCGTTTGCAACACACACACCAGGGTGATGGGCAAAGGTGCAATCTCCTGTAGGGGTAGGAGGAGAGTGAAGGGGACGAGATGGGGATGAAAGAGTAGGTGGGATGGAAGAGTAGGAGAGGCACTGAGACGCGCAATTCTAATGGCACTTGAAGAGCAGGAGCACGGAGCAGCAGAGGAGCAGACTTTCTAGGCGACTCAGAAGTTGACTGTGAAGCAGCAGACCACTTCCCTGGAAAGGCCTATTCCCTGGTATCCCTGCTGTGCGCTCGTGGGCTTCGACACTCACCCTTCATTTAAAGAACCTTGAAGTCCACAAGCAATCGATTTTTTAGGCGCCATACATATATATATATGTATATATATATAATTTAATATTTATAGGCACCTCAAAGAACGTTAAAACGGCGAGCACACAGCAGGCATTGAGAGAGAGTTCTCCCTGGGGCACGTTGGCTGGGGTGTCACCATACCTTACCTACCGTACCGAACCGTACCATACCGTGCCGTACCCAGTCAGATTAACTCACGGCGTTCGTCATACGAGCAGGCGAAGTCAGGGTCAATGAAGTGCAGAGGCGTTGACCATACGAGCACACGGCAGACAGGCAGGAAGAGGGAGCACCTTCAGGGAGCATACACCCAGTTACCAACTCACGGCGTTCATCATAGGAGCAGGCGAAGTCAGGGGTACCAGCGAAGTGCAGAGGCATGGACCATTCCCAGCCCTTGCTGTGCAAAATGTCGTCCGCCCACGAGCACACGGCAGGGAGGCTGCCCTCAGCGACGGGGGGAAGCAGCGCCTTCACTGCTGCTGCTGCCTCGTTGGTCAGAAGAGCCTGGATGGGCAATTGGGGTTCGAGGATGAGCGAGCCATAGATGGGAAAGATGAGGGATGATCAGCCCATAAGGCACGCACACCGCAGGGAGGCTGCCCCTGGCTGTGGGGGGGAGCAGCGCCGCCACTGCTGCTGCTGCCTGGATAGGGAGGGAGGGAGGGGGGTAGGAGGCGAGAATATAGGAAGGCTGAGGCCTGATGTGCCCACGAGCGCACCGCAGGGATGCTGGCCTTAGCGATGGGGGGCAGCAGCGCCGTGAAAGCGTGGCCGTCGTGACCTCTTGCCATCTCAGGATGTTCCCCAAAGCACCTAAGCTGCCTAAGGTACATCGTACGGACGGAACCCCACCTGCGTGATGGCGCAGGTGAACGCGTGGCCGACGTGACCCCACGCGTGGCGCCCGATGCGAGCCGCGGAGAGCACAGCGAGGACCGACACGAACGCTACAAGCAAGCGGGGGTGCGACGGGCCGCGACGAGCGGCTTGGAGGACGCAACCCGCCATGGGGGAACGGAAACGCTGGGAGATGCTTTTGAGAAGGCGTCGCACGCTGGGCGATAAATGCTCGCATCTTCGTTACAAGCGTAATAAGAGAGAGCGAAACGATGGCGGAGGAAAAGAGGGGAGGAGTGAGGACGCGTCGCCTCTGGCTCATTTCTGGCTCATGAGGAATGCAATATGCTAGATTTCATTGCCTCATGAGCCAGAAATGAGCCATCAGAAACACCAGAAGCACTAGCAGCAACAGCAGCAGCAGCAGCAGCAGCACGAGAAAGAACGTCTCCAGGGCAGGAGGCCCAGGCAGGGATGAGGGGGCGCCAGTGTGAGGCGAGTTGGTGGGCGATGTGATGCAGCATGGCGGTGCTGCTGCCGTTGTAGTGCCGGTGGATGGCTGAGGCTATGATAAAGCTATCCCACACCTGATGCAGAGCGGTGGAGAAGGGTGGAGAGGGATGGAAACGGCTTCCTCAAGAATGAGGGGGCGCCAGTCTTAGGCGAGTTGGTGGGCGAAGTGATGCAGCATGGCCGTGCAGCATGGGGCCGCCAGTGGATGGCTGAGGCGATGATGTCACTGTCCCACATCTGGAGGGATGTGCAGGAGTTTGGGAGGCGTGGAGAGGGGTTGGGAGGGGTGGGAGGGTGAAGGGATCAGGGCATGAGGGTTGGTGGGCGATGTGATGCAGCATGGCGGTGTGGCTGCCGTTGTAGCGCAGGTGGATGGCCGTGGTGTGGCTATGATGTGGTCGTCCCACACCTGGAGTGGAGAGCGGTGAAGAGGGGTAGGAAGGGGTTAAATCAATGATCGACGAGATGCAGCACCCTGCCGTTGTAGCGCAGACGTACCACCATGCTGCACCTCGTCGACCAATAAACCCCTTCTCCACCTCTCTCCATGGCCATGGCTATCATGTAGTCGTTCCATACATGGAAGGGTCCTCAGGGAGTGCAGGGTGGTGAAATGGTGTGGAGAGGGGTGCAGGAAAAAAAAAACAGATGCCATAAAAACACCAACAAGCTGCCACATTACGGATGTCATCCTGGTTATTTCCATGAATAGCATGGCATGGCATGGCATGGCATGGCATGGCATATTGCATCAGGTCAGGGCGGGCATATCGCATGCATGGCATGGCATGGCATGGCATGGCAGGGCAGGGCAGACATACCAGCTGCAGGTTCGTTTTCCTCTTGAACCATGTCACGGGCACCCTGATACCTTTAGAAGAGTCTCGAGTGTCAACAGTCATGCCATAGCAGGGTGGGCATTTGGAAGAGAAGGGAAAAGACAGACATACCGCATGCAGGTTTGTCTTCTGCTTGAACCATGTCACATGCACCCAGTTGCCACCGAAATCAGATGTGAATCCCACGTGCAGAGGCTGCACCAGGGGGAATGGAGGCATTGGGGGTGGGGGGGTGAGAGGGTGGAAAACTGAGAGCCCATGGCACATTCACCCAGTTGCCACCGAAATCAAATGTGAATCCCACATGCAGAGGCTGCACCAGGGAATATGAGGAAGACGGATAGAGGCATGAGGGAGAGAAATTGGAGTCTCATGTCACGTCCACCCTTTTTGCCGCCCAGATCAGATGTGAATCCCACGTGCAGCGGCTGCAGCAGCGGGATGTGGGACAGATGGGTGGAGGCATGGAGGTGGGGGAGGGAAAGGGAGAGGATTGGGGGGCATGTCACGTACTGCCCAGGTCTGATATGAATTCCACGTGGAGTGGCTGAAGGAAGGGGATATGAGGCAATCGGATGGGGGCATGGAAGGGGGGGGAAATGGGAATTTTTGAGACGTCTCAAAAATACTCTTGTTACAGGAAGGGGACATGAGACAATTGGATCGAGGCATGGGAATGGGAATCCCACGTGCAGCGGCTAAACCTAGGGGAAATGGGGCAGACAAATGGAGACATGAGGGCGGGGGGACTGGGGGATTTAGACAGGCGCAACCTGTTGCCGCCCAGAGTTGGTGTGAATCTCACGTGCAGAGGCTGAAGCAGGAAGATATGGGGCAGACAGATGGATGCATGGGAATGAGGGGAGAGGGGGGGATTGGGTGACTCAGACTCGCACCCTGATGCCGCCCAGAGTTGGTGTGAATCCCATGCGCAGGCTGAGGCATTGGGGAGCGACGCATGGAGACACAGAGGATGGAATGATTTTGAGACGTCTCAAAAACTCTCTCATTGCATGAGGAGTGGAAATGGGGGACGGACCAGCGTACGCCCATTTGCCAATGTCAACCCCACGTGCAGAGGCTGAACCAGGACTTTTGCCCGGAAGGGGGGGGTAGAGGTGGTGGGGGGGGAGAGAAATGGAGCGACGGAGGGGTCAAACTTGCACCCCTATTGCCGCCCATAACTGAGGTGCATCCCACGTGCAGAGGCTGAACTAGGGGCTATGCGGTTAAACATGCACCCTTCCTTGCCTCCCACCTCACCTGGTGGATATCCCCTGCAAAGTGCGCCAGGAACATGAGCGCCTCTGTCAGGCTGTAGCTTTTACTAACAGACCCCACACCTGTCGTCCTTGGCCCTTTGCATATATGTGCACGCGCTCCACCATCCTCACCTGATGAATATCCCCTGCAAAGTGCGCCAGGAACATGAGCGCCTCTGTCAGGTTGTAACGGGTAGAATTGTCTGCTCCTGATGCTCTTTGCTTAGTTGCGTATGTGTGCACCCCACCCACCTCACCTGGTAGATATCCCCTGCAAAGTGCGCCAGCATCAGCAGCACCTTTGTGAGGTTGTAGCCTCTGATAGACCCCCCATCTCCTAACAGACCCCACACCTGTCGCTCTTTGCCCTTTGCACATGTGTGCACTGCTATCGCCCTCACCTGGTGGATATCCCCTGCAAAATGCGCGAGGAACATGAGTGCCTCTGTCAGGTTGTAGTGTCTTATGGACCCCGCATCCAGTGCTGCTTGTTGCTCACTAGCACGACCACTGGAAGCAGCAGCAGCAGCACCACCACCACTAGCACCAACAGGAGCTGCAAAGGTTGAGGCATGAGCAGCACTCCAAGCACCGTCTCCAACCACTCCCTTTACCACCTGCACCAGCTCCTCTTCCCCTTCTCCCACCTCCCCACTTCCCTCTTCCTCTTCTACCTCTTCCCCTTCTCCCACCTCCCCACTTCCCTCCTCCTCTTCTACCTCTTCCCCTTCTCCCACCTCCCCACTTCCCTCTTCCTCTTCTACCTCTTCCCCTTCTACCTCCTCCGCTTCTACCTCTTTACCGTCTCCCTCCTCCTCACCCCTCCCCAGCACCCCAGCATCTGTCTCATCCACCCCCCTGAGGAGAAGACTCCGCCGGTGAGGGGAGGTGGGGAAAACATCAGGCTTGAGGGGAGTAGGGGGTCCGGGGGAGGACGAAAGGAAGGTACGCCGGAAAGGGGATTCGGGCTGGGCGGATGGGTGATGGGGTGAGTAGGTGAGGAGCTGCGAGGAGTAGTTGGTGAATGCGTTGGTAACGCACAGACCAGGGTGATGGGCGAAGATGCAATCACCTGGAGGGGAGGGAGGAGGGGGGGGAAAGGGGAGAAGGAGGGGGAGGGAGGGAGTGAAATGGGGAGAGCAGGTGAAGCAGTGCAAGGTGTTGTTGATGGTAGGGTTTGGTAGCGCTTGCAACGCACACACCAGGGTGATGGACGAAGGCACGATCGCCTGTACGGGAGGGAGGGAGAAGGGCGGCGAGGGAGGAGAGAGGCGGATGGACGAGTAGGTAGGTGAAGCGCTGGGATGTGTAGTTGGATTGCATTAGCGACGCACACACTGGGGTGATGGGCAAAGGTGCAATTGCCTAACGGCAGGAGGGTGGGGAAAGGAGGGAGCGAAAAGAGAGGAGGATATGGCACTGTAAAAGAGGGGCATGAGACCTTAGGGTGTATTATCCCCAGTCACCCAACTCACGCCGTCCATGATTTGAGCAGGCGAAGTCATTCATATCAATAACACAGAGAGCCGAGAACCAAGCCCATCCCTTGGTGTAGCGACTCGCTTGCTTGGGGTACCGTACCGTACAATACTGTACCACATCATACCCAGTCGGGCCAACTCACGGCGTTCATCGTACGAGCATGCGAAGTCAGGAGTACCAACGAAGAGCAGAGGCGAGGACCAGGTCGACCCTTGCCGAATGGCGATACCATACCATACCGCACTCTACCACATCATACCCAGGCAGAAAAACTCACGGCGTTCATTGTATGTGCAGGCGAAGTCAGGGGTACCAGCGAAGTGCAGAGGCATGGACCATTCCCACCGCTCGCCGTGCAAAATGTCGTCAGCCCACGAGCACACGGCAGGAAGGCTTCCCTGGGCGATGGGGGGCAGCAGCGCCGCCACTGCTGCTGCTGCCTCATCGGTTAGCAAGGCCTGGATAGTGAGGGAGGGAGGGGGGTAGGAGGCGAGAATATAGGAAGGCTGAGGCCTGATGTGCCCACGAGCACACAGCAGGGGGGCTGGCCTTAGCGATGGGGGGCAGCGGCGCCGCGAAAGCGTGGCCGTCGTGACCTCTTGCCATCTCAGGATGTTCCCCAAAGCACCTAAGCTGCCTAAGGTACATCATACGGACGGAACCTTACCTGGGCGATGGCGCACGTGAACGCGTGGCCGACGTGACCCCACGCGTGGCACCCGAAGCGAGCCGCGGGGAGCAGAGCGAGGAGCGACACGAACGTTAGAAGCAAGCGGGGGTGCGACGGGCCGCGACGAGCGGCTTGGAGGACGCAACCCGGCGCCATGGGGGAACGGAAACGCTAGGAGATGCTTTTGAGAAGGCGTCGCACTCTGGCCGATAAATGCTCGCATCTTCGTTACAAGCGTAATAAGAGAGAGAGAGAGAGAGAGAGAGAGAGAGAGAGAGAGAGAGAGAGAGAGAGAGAGAGAGAGAGAGAGAGAGAGAGAGAGAGAGAGAGAGAGAGAGAGAGAGAGAGAGAGAGAGAGAAACGATGGCGGAGGAAAAGAGGGGAGGAGTGAGGACGCGTCGCCTCTGGCTCATTTTGGCGATCGATCCTGCGCAGGATCGATCGGTTGAGAATGTTTGGATGCAATATGATAGATTTCAGTGCGGTGGACGATTGGTTTCGCATCGTGGAAACTCGAAGCAGGCGAGGTGAGGTGACGACGCGTCCTGAAGGAGTGTGAACGAAAGAAAAGAGAAGGGATCCCAAATTCACTGCTGTGCATGTCATCGCTGCGATGTGCCTGGGCTGAATTGCAGTTGGGAATGAATCGCAATTTCGTTTCGGCAAGAACTGGATTCAATCTTTCTGAATCCCAATGGAACACGCTTGATCGCAAGAAGCCTCAAGTTACGGTTTGTTCATGCACCACTTATTACCACATCTCATATACTTTGTAGCACAAATCCTTTGTTACCTACACAGACGATTAACTGTTTACAGATATCTAAATATGCTGCAATCACTAGTTTTTTACTGTACAGCCCTAAGAGGAGAAAATATGCGGTTGAGAATACGGGCAAGGCGCACCCCACCCATGGCAATGCGCATCTCCACAACGGGCAGGCGAGACTTGAAATACTCATCTGTAGAGTTTGATGAAGAAGCCAACGGTGCGGTGTGGTGGGGTTGGGTGACAAGATGGGATGGGCAAGGAAGAACGAAGGAGACAATGGTGGGTGGAGAAGGATATTGGAGGATTGTTGTGAAAACATTATCATTAATTTGAAACACCAAACGTACTGGAAAATTGACCACTTTGGGAGGCATGGCGTGAGGAAATTATGAAACCCAAGATTTGTATGCTTCCTTTGCACCTTTTTAAAGCGTCCGGGAAGTGAATCAAAATGATTGAGCTGCTTGTGGCGAAGTGAAAGTTTCTTAGGTACAACATTTTGCATGCACAAAAACGCACCTCCAAGCACGGCTCCAGGTGTCGCGTTGCGATAGGCCCACTTGCAGCATCCTTTGCGCTCTCCATCGCATATCTGATTGTGCGAGGTGATGCAAGGAGATGCAAGGAGGTGCAAATAGGTGCGACGAGATACACCGCTGGGCAGCTGGAAGGGTGGAACGAGGGGGCGATAGTCAGAGGCGAGAATGTGGAGAGCAGAGGCACTTACACAGCTGGGCAGGCAGCAGCTTCAGCAGGAGAAAGATGCGATGAGATTTGAGCATCATCAGAAACACCAGAAGCACTAGCAGCAGCAGCAGCAGCAGCAGCAGCACGAGAAAGAACGTCTCCAGGGCAGGAGGCCCAGGCAGGGATGAGGGGGCGCCAGTCTGAGGCGAGTTGGTGGGCGATGTGATGCAGCATGGCGGTGCTGCTGCCGTTGTAGCGCAGGTGGATGGCCGAATCTATGATAAAGCTGTCCCACACCTGGAGGGATGTGAGGGAGTTTGGGAGGCGTGGAGAGGGGTTGGGACGGGTGGGAGGATGAAGGGACCAGGGCATGTGGGTTGGTGGGAGATGTGATGCAGCATGGCGGTGCTGGTGCCATTGTAGTGCAGGTGGATGGCTGAGGCTACGATGAAGTCGTCCCACACCTGGCGTGGAGAGCGGTGGAGAAGGGTGGAGAGGGGTGGGGATGGTGAAGGACCCTGAAGGCATGATGAACGGTGTGATGCAGCAGCAGGCTGGTTCAGCGCAGGTGGATGGCCAAGGCTATGATGTATATGTCCCACACCTGGAGGGATGCGAGATGTTTGAAGAGGAGTGGAGATGGGTGGAAGGGGGTGCGAGGAAAGAAAGGAGAATGCTAGGAGATGTGGTGGAGCATGGTGGTGCAGATGCTGCTGCAAGGGGAATGGATGGCGGTGGCTTGAGAATGAAATAGCATGGTATGCCATGCCATGGCACAGCAGGGAAGCACACCGCATGTATGGTATGGGATAGTGGACATACTGGCATATGGCATGGCATGGCATGGCATGGGATGGTACCAGATGGCATGGCATGGCATGGCATGGCATGGTACCAGATGGCATGGCATGGCATGGTATGGCAGACAGACATACCGCATGCAGGTTGGTCTTCCTCTTGAACCATGTCACATGCACCCTGTTGCCGCCCAGATCAGATGTGAATCCCACGTGCAGAGGCTGCACCAGGGGATATGGGAAGATGGGTGAAGGCATGGGAAGGAAGAGGGAGAGGGAGAAAATTGGGGGACCATGTCACATGCACCCTGTTACCGCCCAGGTCTGATGTGAAGCCTACGTGCAGAGGCTGCACCAGGGGGGCATGGGACAGATGGTTGAAGGCATGGGGGAAGGGAAAATTAGAGGATCGTGTCACATGCACCCTGTTGCCACCCAGATATGATGCAAAGCACACATACAGCAGCTGAAACGGAGGCATTGGGGGGAGATGAATGGAAGCATGCATGGAGGCAGAAGAGGAATTGGCAGGAGAGGCAGGCTTAACATGGCCTCAAGAACACACCTGACTAACCGCACCTGACCAGGCGCACCCGACCAGGCGCACCTGACCAGGCGCACCTGACCAGGCGCACCTGACCAGCCGCACCTGGTTAACCGAACCTGACCACCGCACCTGGTTAACCGAACCTGACCACCGCACCTGGTTAAAATGGTAGATTTGAGACGTTTCAAAACTTCTAACCTCACCTGATGAATGTCGCCTGCAAAGTGCGCTAGGAGCGCCCCTGCAAAGTGGCCTCGACTGACAGACCCCACACGCGGCACCCTGCGTAACTTGCTTCACAGCCTCGGGCTCCTTGGCGCCTTGGCTCTTTGCGGCACATGTGCGCCCCACCACGAACCTCACCTGATGAATATCCCCCGCAAAGTGCACCAGGAACATGAGCGCCAGTGTGAGGTTGTGGTGCCTCACAGACCTTGCCCCTGTTGCGCGTTGCTTGGTTGCACATGTGCGCCCCACCACGAACCTCACCTGATGAATTTCCCCCGCAAAGTGCGGCAGTAACATGAGCGCCTCCGTGAGGTTATAGCCTCTGATGGACGCCTCACCCTTTGCTCCTTGCTCCTTTGCTTCTGTGCTCCCTTGCCGTTGCTTATACGTTCAATCCCCCCATCCTCACCTGGTGAATGTCCCCCGCAAAGTGCGCGAGGAACATGAGCGCCTGTGTGAGGTTGTAGCGTTTAATGGACCCCACATCCACTGCTTCTTCCTGCCTAGCAGGAGACTTTTGAGCCAACTCAGAAGCCACACCCACAGCTTCTTTCTGCCTGGCAGGAACCGCAGCAGCAATGATTGAAGCATGAGCAGCTTTTCTTGCCCCATCTCGCACCACTCCCCTTACCACCCGCACCAACTCCTCTTCCCCTTGGCCCACCTCCGGTACTCCCTCTTTCCCTTCTCCCTCCTCCCCAGCCCCCCCAAGCACAGCAGCGTCTGCCTCATTCACCCCTCTGAGAAGAAGACTACGCCGGTGAGGGGATTTAAGGAGACCGGCAGGCTTGAGTGGAGTTGCAGATTGGGCAGAGGAATGGGGTGAGTAGGTGAGGAGCTGGGAGGTGTAGTTGATGATTGCGTTGGCCACGCACACACCGGGGTGATGGGCGAAGGCGCAATCGCCTGGAGGGCAGGGAGCGTAGAGGGAGTGAGAGGGACGGAGAGATAGGTGATGCGAGAGGAGGTGGAACGTTGGGTTCATTATGAAGTGAAGAGGCAATGACCAGGCACACCCTTTGGTGTCAGCCCACTCACGAGAACAGCAGGGAGAGAAAGGGAGAGCAAACTCAGGGAGGGGCCAACGTTTTACTAGAGAGAAAGAGAGAGCAACAGGAGGGAAAAAACATGACTAACCAACTCACGGCGTTCATCGTACGAGCATGCGAAGTCAGGGGTATCAATGTAGTGCAGAGGCGCGGACCACGCCCACCCCTTGGTGTGCCCAATCACATCAGCCCACGAGCACACGGCAGGGAGGCTGCCCTTAGCGACCGGTGGGAGCAGCGCCGCCACTGCTGCTGCTGCCTCGTCCGTTAACAATGCCTGGATCAGCGAGGGAGAAAAGGGGATTAGCCCACGAGGAACGTGGAACGTGGAAGAACGAAGCTTGGTCCACCCACGAGCACACGACAGGGAGGCTGCCCCTGGCCATGGGCGAAGCAGCAAGGCGTGAGGAACCAGGCGGAGGAAAACAAGGTACGGTTACACCATCCTGGGCCACGCATTCGCGTGATACCATCCCGTCCTTACTTTCTCTAACGTCTCGGTTTTTTTTTTTTTTTTTTTTTTTTTTTTTTTTTTTTTTTTTTTTTTTTTTTTTTTATTGCTCTCTCAACTCTTTACGGTGCACGAGAAAACATAAGAAACCCCACCTGAGAATTGACGAAGGTGAACGTGTAGCCGTCGTGGCCCCACAAAGCCTCGTGCTGCCTCAGATAGTTATAAGACCAGACTTAGTTAGCTAAGCTACTACTTAACACAGCTTACCTGTGCGATGGCGCAGGTGAACGCGTGGCCGACGTGGCCCCACGCGTGGCACCCGATGCGAGCCGCGGGGAGCAGAGCGAGGAGCGACACGAACGCTACAAGCAAGCGGGCGTGCGACGCGGCGCGAAGAGCGGCTTGAGGAACGACACGCGCCATGGGAACGGGAACGGGAAATGCTTTCCTCAGTGAAGAAAAAAATCTTCGAATCTCCGCTGTTTCAGGTTACTAAGATAAGGCGATGGCGCAGGAGCGGAGGAGGGTGAATGAGCGGAGGAGGGTGAATGAGCAGAGAGGCAGAAAAAAAAGGAATTTGGAATTCAGTGAACACTGCTGCAAGCGGGGTACCTGCGCTCTGTCACTGGGGGTACAGTCGGTGCTCATTTCAAGAAAACCAGGTAGGCGGGCGGCATGTGCGTGAAACGTGTTTCAGGCACTTCGCCACATTCGCCCTTGTCGCCACGGGCGAAGATGTGACTGTAATATGAAATTGCATTGTGAATTGATTTAAGGGCTTTAATTTCGTAACCAGGTAAACTTTTCAAATGACGGGCAACCGTTGTTGTTTATGAACTGTAGATGTTTTTCTTCCTCAACGTGGTGACTGTACCCCGAAATCGGCACAATGGTCAATTTAGTCACTCACGGGCAAAACGTTCGCGAGTGACTAAATTTCTGATTGCGGGGAACAAATGTTTTGTGATAGGCTGAGCATCGACTGTACTTGCGGGCAGAACATCCCAGGCTGCTGCTGCTGCTGCTGGAGTACATGCACAGGCATTGAAATGGCAATTTCTTTTCGCCACGTACCGTACTTGAACGTTTCGAATCGCAATGGAACACACTTGAACCAAACGTATTTCGATACAGTGCATGCTCAGCGAACTTAGTTCGGGACCACATCCCGTATCGCAAACCGGTCGCGAAGGCTCAGATGTCTGGCGAAGCGTCACCGCACAAACTTTACGTTGTTACATCAGATCGCTAATTCCTCTGTGTCGTCGTGATTGATACATCTACAGTTACATAGCCTATGACGAGACTCAAGTAGTGTTGTATAATGTGGCTACTAGAAGAAAAATTATTGAACAGTAAAACCCATTTCACCAACACATGCTTTTCTTGTAATCTTGCACCAGTTTCTGTGCTCTAGGTCCTAACCTTCAGCCCTACCCCACCTAGCTTTTTTGCTTCTCACCCTAACACACACAACCAACCATCATCATACCGTACTGCTTTGCCACACTCTCCTCAAGCATTACCCACCTAGTTGCACGTCCAATCCAAGTGCATCACCACAAGAAAATAATTCGTAATAGTAAATGACTACAGTAGCATGATGCCTCCTTCATCCACCATTGTATCAACAACAGTAGCCAGCTTTCCTTCATACTTCTGTCCTTTCTTCAATCTAAACACCACTGCAAACACATCTACATCCTTCGATCTCTCCGCAATCAGCCTCCCAATCACCTGACAAGCGTTCTCATCCACTAAAGACGGAAGAGACATCCTCAAATCCTTCGCACTTGTAGTCGCAACCGAAACAACCCTGCTGGTAACCCTATGCATCACTTTCGCGCTCACGTAACGCTTGGAAATGTACACGTCGAGAATAAACGGTTTCACAAACTTCTCGTGCCGTTCTTTCCACGACTTTGCCTTTGGGTTGGCTGCCTTGCTGCCACTGCCCCCTGCCGACTTGCCTCCTTTCCGAGTCCATCCAGCAGCCTCTGTTTTGGGGAGGATACGCATGCTTCTCTGGCCGGTGGGGTTCAGCGAGCTGCCCCACCCCTGCAATGGAATCAAGGAACAAAGGGATGGAGGAGGAATGAGTGGTGTTCTCAGGCAATCACTGGGGTGCGTTGAGATGCACAGGGAATCACAAGGGTGCAGAACGGTGCATAGGAAGTTTTTCTCTGGCTGGTGAGAGTGAGCGAGCTGTCCCACCCCTGAAGAGAAATCAAGGAACAACGGGAGATCCAGAGGCGAAGGGGGTGCAATGTGAGGCGTGCACAGGCTGGAACAGGGGTACACTGAGGTGCAGAGGGGTTCACAGGGCGTTCAGGGGTGCGTAGGGTTGTAAAGGCGTGTGTAGGAGTGCACTGGGCTGCATGACAAACGAAGAGAAGCAACGGGATGCGAGAACATGAACTCTGGGAGGGAGGGTTCAGTATGGTGGGGAGAGATTATGAATTGGTGACGGGAAATGGCCCAACACAATGGCGTCATTTGAGGCGCCTCAACGATTATGGACTTTTGAGGCGCCTCAAATGATTATAGATTGGTGAGGGCTGGCCCAACACAATGGCGTCAATCCGACAGTGTAGGCGTCTTCGTGCAATCTTTATCTACTCCTCCTATCTACTTGCATTAAACCACGCCAATTCAAACCACACTCCTCGTAAGCCATACCCGGCCGTATCTCGGTTACCAGTACAGCATTGCTCATATTGTAAAGTGTACCGAAAAGTGTTATGTTGTATCATAGAGTCATACCCCATAGTATCATACCGCGTTATGCCGTACAGCAGATACGAACGAGCTGGTGCCGATGGAATCGCCAAGAAAATGAGAAGCTCCACGCCAGTGACTTGTAGAGAGACCTGCTAATAACGGTTCTGCGAACGGCACAAGACTCGATCGCGATGGAGCTAGCCGCGGCGAGACAGACCATCGGACGGCGCTCCGCGATATCGCCATCGAGCTTATCGAGGCCATCTAAAACGCGCTGATCGCCGCCGGAACTTGTAGGGATATTTATTGCCGTAGTGGACTATGGTTAGGGGGTTCACAATGTCTGCACGAATAAGGCTCGGCGCGTCAGCTCAGCGGAAGCGCAACAGCAGGCTTGGATTAGCGCGACATTAGCTGCGACAGGATAAGTGCGTCCGCCATGAAAATGGGGAGCACCGTGTGTGTTGCCAGGAAGAAACCATCGAATGGACCGGCGTGGCTTTCGTTTCGGAACAGACAACTCGATATAGCACTCAGTTGGCGAGAAATACATTGACACAACCATGTGACATTTACAATCATTTTCTCTACAACTACATTCAAGGATGATGAAAAGATTACTTGGGATAGAGACAGAGACAAACTGCCGATACTACATTCATAAGAAGCCTTAACGATTTCCTACCTACTGACCGAGCCGTTTCAACACAGAATACAACCTACCATACTCGCGTACCGTACTATTGCGAGCAAATGAACAGTACAAATAACCCTCTTTACAGCAGCTTCTTCCGATGGAAGTAGGAGAGCAAGAACCATAGCTGGATGGATGCTAGAGCCACACAGATTAGCAGCGATGTGATACTAATGAAGGCCACCCGCTCGTTGGTCAGCTCATTAGAGTCTCGAATCTCCGACTCCCTTGAAAAATGAAAAGAAAAGATGGGAGAAGGTAGAGCAGCGACGATGGATGGTAAGGAGGGGATGATAGAAAAGCGTAAGACTAGAAAGAGAATCATAGGAAAATAAGAGTGTTGGGGAAAGAGAGGAGGATGAGAAAAGGCTGAGACATTGATGAGTGAGATTTAGGCCACGCATAACAAAAAATCTTGTATGTTGAAAAGAACCTGCACATCGTGTTTCTCTTGCTCTATGCTATCTATCATCCTGTACAAGAAACCGTGGGAACAAGTGCTAGGTTTTAGAGCTGGAGGAATGAAAGTGGGATTGTTGATCCATGGGTAGACTTCCAAACACGTTGTCACCTATTTTGCCCATGTGGGCGAAAGTTACACCCACTCCTCACCATACCTATCCTTTCCAACATCCCGCCTTGCCATAATTGCACCTCCCCAGCACCTCACCTCTGCAGCATTCCACTTCCCCCGCGTCTCACCTGCAAGCCTTTCACCTACCCAACATTCCACCTGCCCAGAAATCCACCTGCCCAGAATTCCACCTGCGCAGAATTCCACCTGCCCAGAATTCCACCTGTCCAGCATCACACCTGCTCAGCATCACACCTGCCCAGCATCTTACCTGTCCAGCATATCACCTACCCACATTCCACCTTCCCCGTGTCTCACCTGCCCCTGAAGCAGGTCATTTCATCTCAAATGGACCTTAGCTCCAGTCCCATTCCCTGTTGCGCCCGCGGCATTCCCCCGCTCAAACGCAATCCACCCCCCCAGAGTCTCACCTCCCCCGGAAGTAGGTCATTTCATCTCGGATGGCCCGCACTGTCTCATCCAACTTCCGCAGCTCCAACCCCATGCCCTGTTGCGCCGTGTCATGCCATACAATGCCATGCCATGCCATGCCGCACCAAACCATGCCGTGCCATGCCGAATAATGTCATGTCATGGCATACCAAGCCATGCAAACCATGTGATGTCATAGTTCATCCATGCCATGCCATTTTATGTGTACCATCCAATGCCATCGTACATTCCATGCCAAACGATGATGTGAGGGGGGCATGAGGCCATCATCGCATGACCAAGATCGCATGGCCATATGAGTTGAGCAATGACAGTGTGGCCATGCCAGTATGCCCATGTGCATGCATGAACCCGCGGCATGATGTGAGGGAGGTATGAAGTTATGATCGCATGGCCACATGAATCGTCCTGGAGCTATGAGAGTGTATGGGAGTGGGGCCATGCCATGCCAGTATGCACATGGACCTGAGACTATTCTGATGCCCCTGATCCCTTGACCTGAATGTGCTCCGCCTAAAGAAATGGACAGCTCACTGCCTCATCGAGACATGATGGGTGAATTAGGTCAATCAACCAAAACCCGTGATCCGTATAGTGCCCCTGCTCGCTCACATCGATCTTCTCCTTCTTCGCTATGCTCTCCCAGTCTTTAGCAGCCACGCCTGACCGCCACTCCAGGTCCACCTGCCCACACGCGCGCACATGCATGATGGTTACAAGTGAATATGCTGCTTAATCACATGACTCTTCTCTCTCTTTGCTGGGCTCTGCTCGGCCTGTCCTTAGCAGCCACGCCTGACAGCCACTCTAGATCCACCTGCCCACACGCGCGCACATGCATGATGGTTACAAGTGAATATGCTGCTTAATCACATGACTCTTCTCTCTCTTTGCTGGGCTCTGCTCGGCCTGTCCTTAGCAGCCACGCCTGACAGCCACTCTAGATCCACCTGCCCACAGACACACATGCATGAAGCTTTGCAAGTTAATGGTCAGTTGCGTTCGGATATTCACAACAGTTTAGGTCTAGCTGACCACACGCATGCACGCATGCTGGTTATAGGTCAATATGCTGCTTAATCACATCACTCTCCCCTCAGCATAGTTTTTACAGGTCAATATGCTGCTTAATCACATCACTCTCCCCTCAGCATAGTTTTTACAGGTCAATATGCTGCATACCACGAGGAAATGCACCCCAGGAGTGGCATGCAGCATACCACGAACTGCCCTGCTCCGACTCCTTGGTCTTACTGTGACAGGCACTAACCTCTCTCTTATACTCACACACAAAGACATTCGTACCGTGAGCGAGAGCTCAGGAGTGCCATGGGGCATTCAGAAGCACGCCATGATTCATGAGCTGCACTTGAGCTAACCATGGCAACCAACCACACACTTCCTTACATACCATAAGAGAATCCTTGCCCGGCGTGCCATGCGGCATCCAGAAGCAAGCCATGAACTGCCCCAACTCCTCAATGTTACAATCACAGCCAAGAGCCATGTCATATTCACGCACATAGAGACAATCACATCACACTCGAGTGTACATACCATGAGGGAGTCCTTGCCCGGCGTGCCATGCGGCATCCAGAAGCACGCCATGAATCGCCCCGACTCCTTGGCCGTGAATCCAAAGTGCCCCTCCTCCACGTCACACTGTTCTGCCGCCTTACATTCACTCAATCTCACACAAACCACTCTCACACACATACACATACACATACATACATACCATGAGTGAATCCTTGCCCGGAGTGCCATGCGGCATCCAGAAGCATGCCATGAACTGCCCTGATTCTTTGGCCGTGAATCCAAAGTGCCCCTCCTCCACGTCGCTCTGCCAGTGCAGCTGCCGCCCAAACGGGGACGTCACCTGCAGAGCGGTGATGTGCGGTGATGGGATGTTATGTGCGGTATGTCAGCAAGAACAGAGACGAATTTGAGCTGCATTATAAGAAGTGTCCCTCCTCCACATCGCTCTGCCAGTGCAGCTGCCGCCCAAACGGGGACGTCACCTGCCGCCCAAACGGTGATGTGATGCGATGTGCGGTCGTGTGCGGTGATGTGATGTGAAGTGCGGTATGTCAGAGAGAACAGGAGGTTATTTATTTGTACCGCCATTTATTAGGGGCCTCATAAGAAGTGCCCCTCCTCCATGTCGCTCTGCCAGTGCAGCTGCCGCCCAAATGGGGATGTCACCTGCAGAGCGGTGATGTGCGGCGATGGGATTTTATGTGTGGTATCATGGTATGTCAGCAAGAACAGAGACGAATTTGAGGTGCATTATAAGAAGTGCCCCTCCTCCACGTCGCTCTGCCAGTGCAGCTGCCGGCCAAACGGAGATGTCACCTGCAGTGATGTGACGTGCAGGGTGTCAGCACAATAGAGGCTGACAGTTGCTAGGCGCCTCAAATGCAGTTATCTTTGGGGTGCCTCAAACGACATGAGGTGACGGGATGAGCGGGATGTCAGCCATGCCATGCCGGAACATGCCGTACCATACCGTGCCATACCGTGCCATGCAGGAACATGCCACGCAATCCAAGACAAACGTACAGGATGTTACATCAATGACTTGTAGTATGTAGTATGGTTTCTGAATGTGTGAGTTGGGCCAATACCATGAAACAAGGACAAACAACGACTTGTATGTTGATTTGTCCCTGATTCGTTGTACAGCAACATCACCTCTTGGACAAAACAACGATCCATACCTCCTGTGGGAAAAAAAGCCATCCAAGCTGACCTCATCCTCGTTATTTAGCTCACATGTAAGGAGATGACCTCATAATAGACAGACATGAGAATTTTCGGTCCCAGCAGCACAATCAGCTGTAACATATATGCAATGCAAGTGGTTGAGGCATTTAGTGTGATCGCTGCTCTTTCCGGTTAACACGCCTTGATTGGTACAGGTCTGCCAAACCAGTACCCTATGGGACTGAACCTCTTTTATATTGCATATTGCATTATCTATGATATTCTAGCAGTCGCTTGACCTACCTTGCCAGTGATCTTGGTGTGATCGCTGCTCTCCCCCACGCAACGACGATACTATCTCCTCTCGGACCTTCAATTCTTCTGTAAGGGAGTGAGTTCTTTGCCTACCTTGGCAGTGATCTTGATGTGAGCGCTGCTCTCGCCGCTCGGCACCACTTGGTTCGTCGCGACGACGAGGGTCCCCTCCTGAATCAAACCTTGTTGTTATCACATCTCCCATTCACGATGAATATGGTATTTCGCCTACCTTAGCGGTGATCTTGGTGAGAGGGCTACTCTCGCCGCTCGGCACCACTTGGTACGTCGCGACAACAAGAGTCCCCTCCTGAACCTCCTCGCCGAGACACTTGCTATACGCCGTCACCTCGAACCGGATGCCCGCCACGTGGCTGAATCCGACGGCTAGGATCAGCAAGCACGCTACCAGCCGAGGCGCGGAGACTATTGCCATTGTGACCAGTTTGGATGGGAATGAAATCCCACTAGGTCTGAATCTGTCAAGAGATTAGAAGACAACCAGTCCGGCTACTACTTAGCAGGGTTTTGACGGGAAAATAAGAAGGGATCAAGCGTCAATGATTTCGCATTGTAGTAGAAACGACGAAGGCTAGAATCGCGGACTTAGCCGGGCAATGCTGACTATCGAGTGCGGACGAAACTTGGAAAAGGTTACGTTATTAGCACCTCGAGGCTCCTACGTAAATGTGACCAAACGCGAACGAAAGGCCACACCAGCCTGACGATTATTGACTTGACAGCCGTAGCTGCTGCAAATCCGCTGCCTCTGCTCTGATTATACCCAGCGGTGGTGTTAGTGCGGGTGGGCCTGAAGAGATAGATCCAGCCTTGATGTTGCTGACGAGAGTTGTGTTTGCCTGCAGGCTGGCAATGGCAATCAATAGCACACGATTTCTTCGCAAGAAACAATGTTTTGGGTTTAAAACCGTTCTAAACCACTCAAAACGGCTACGGAATCGTTCATTGAAATCATTCTGCTTTTGACAACCAAAACACGAGAATGTCTTTCCTGCATACGCGATATTGACTGCTCCACTCGTATTGTCCTCCATCTCTAAAAAATCCGTTCTGTCGACTTCTGGACTCCTACTAGTGAGTACCAGGGACTAAGAGCGACAAGCAGTGACAACAAGCGATCATTATCGAAAAGTAGAGACGATCAGCGACAAGTAACGACGACTAGCGACTACGAGCAGTTGTACACCTGCAGGACCTGGGACAGCCTTGGTCCATAGAGTGCGACCGCTACCGCATCGAATGCGAGAGAAGCGCGAAGGATGTGTCAATCTTGTGGCGTATGTATGACGAAATGCGGCGAATAACTGACGACAGGCGACCGTTACCGACCATGCTCGACCGCTCCTCATGAAACACGCTTCAGTTACTAACGCGTACGCATCCATTGCAGTTATGAAGCTGACGCAGGTGCTGTCGCAAGCGCACGCGACAGCTGGTTACAATCGCAACAAGTTCCTCGTTTTCGCGCTGCTGTGTACCAACTGCTTCACCCTCGTCACTCTCTATGGGTACGCGTTACTACTGGCCGGGACTCGTTACCGTTACACGCCCCTGTCCTCCATACCTCTTCACATCCTCCCGAGCCCTCGAGAGTCCTCGTTTTCCCCAATTTCCTGTCCAACGCATCTCTCCCCCACGACCCGTGTTTCTCTTCTGAGTCGATTTCCTTTTTAATCTCCCACCCCACAGCCCCTGACTTGCTTCTACCGATCACGCTCATCCTCCACTGAACCCCCCTGTTCCCATTCCCCGCCTCCCCAAATCCCCCCTTCCCCCCAAATCCCCCCTCCCCCTCTCTCTCCCCTTCCCCCAACCAGCACCGTCCCCCGGTTTTCCGGGACTCTGGATATTGACGACGCCGCTGACGTGGATCTGCGCAGCAGCAGCGGCGGGGAAGGGCGCGGAGGGGAAAGCGCATGGGGGGAGGAAGGGGGTGGCGCGCTTGGGACGGGACAGGGGGGGACATCTGCGCTGCGCCTCTCCAATGCTACAGACCGCTCTTTCAAGCGAGGGTTCGGCATGCAGGTGAGTGTGTTGAGGCCGGGGATGGGGCCAGGAAAGGGGGGAAGGAGGGAAGGGGGACAGCTGGGCTGGGGGAGGTTGAAAAGCAGGGGCCAGGGAAAGACGCCTGCGCTGCGCCTCTCCAATGCTACAGATCGCACGCTCAAGCGAGGGTTTGGCATGCAGGCGAGTATGTGTGGGCTGGGGATGGGGCTGGGAGGAGGGGGAAGGGGAGCGGGAAGGGGAAAGGGGAAGAGGGAAGGGGATGGAAAGCAGAGGGCAGGGAAAAATTTGCTGCGCTGAGCCTCTCCAATGCCACAGATCGCACGTTCAAGCGAGGGTTTGGCATGCAGGTGAGTGTTCTAAGTCGACTTACAAGCAAAGGACACCTGGGGCGAGGATGAGGAGAAGAGGGCAAAGCAAAGGGGATGTCAGTCAGATATCTCTTCGCTCCACCTCTCCAACGCTACAAATTGCACGTTCAAACGAGGAGGATTCGTCATGCAGGTGAGTGCATGCAGATGCAAGCTGGGCTCTCGATTTTGGATGAGTTGCGTTTCTTGTACGTATGGCCTCTCAACCAGCATAGCCGTCATCCTGTCTGAGTTATCACTTCTTATTCCAACCACCAGCAAATTGGGCCTCCCTGCTGGTGGTTGTTGTCTGAGTGGTTATTCCTTGCTTCCAACCACCGGAATCTTTTCCCTCCCCTTGCATTCTCCCTCCCTCCCTCCCTCCCTCCTTTCCCATGCGCGCCTGCCAGGGCTTTGTGTATTTCAGCGCATACCGCCTCTCTGCAAGTCTCTTTGTGGTGATTGGCCTCTCTCCTCTGCCTCTGCACCGCAACCTCGATGCTCGGGTGTGCCGGTGAGTTGTCTCCACTTGGGGCGATTTACGCAGTGGGCTGTATGAGGTAGATATGCTGTGCTGTTCCCCTTGGTGTCTATTGTGCTGCTCTTGAGTCGCCTCATAAGTGGTGCCAATGTTGTTCGGTGTGTTCCCCCTTGCTCTAACTCTGCTGCTCTGCTCCAACCTTCACTTGCTCTCCCTCCTCTGATCCGTCCTCCATATTGGCTTCTTCGTTTCCAGCTGGTATCCTGCCACGTCATCCTCCTCCCCTATCCTCGGCGAAGTCTCGATAGAATACCCCGGCGAATCGCACAGCAAGCCGTATGAGGTGGCAATGCTGTTCTGCCAGCTCAGCAGCCCCACCCCCAGCACAAGAGAGCGGGGGCGGAAAGGGGACGGGCGGCAGAGTGCGGGGGGCCATCTGACGGTTGTGATCGAACGAGAGGAGATCTTGGTGCTCGGCGAACCGGCCAATGAGAAGTTGCCATTGCCACTCGAGGTGTGTAGGGTTGCGGTGCAGGTGCTTCTATTGTGCTCCTCCTATAACGAGGGATGTTGGTCCAGTCCGTTCTATTCCATTCCTGCGTGCTTCCTCCCTCCTCTCCCTCTCCCATTCCCCATCTACCAACGCAGCCACAGCATAGACCCGTTCTCCCTCCACACCCTCTCCCTTCCACCCTCCTCTCCCTTTCTCCCCCAAGCCGACCCCAGCCGTCAGCCCCCTACCACAGCAACATCACCTACTACTCCTCGCCCATCTATGGCCAGTTCAACTCCCTCAGAGTCCTCGAGTGGGTGGTATACCACCAGCGCAGCACCGCCACTGGATAGACCCGCTCTCCTCTCCCTCCTTCTCCACTGTTCCTTCCCTCTGTCTGTCCTGCTCCCAGCCCCCAGCTCCCTACCCCAGCAACATCACCTACTACTCCTCACCCATCTACGGCCAGTTCACCCTGAGAGTACTCGAGTGGGTGGTATACCACCAGCAGGGCCACGGCCACTGTGTAGACCTGCTCTCTCTCCCCTCTTTTTGCCCTGCTCCCACCCAGCCCCCTACGCCAGCAACATCACCTACTGTTCTTCGCCCACCTACAACCAGTTCCACTCCCTCAGACTCCTCGAGTGGGTGGTATACCACCAGCAGGGCCACATAATAGACCTCTGCTCTATCTCTTCCGTCCCTTTTCTGCATGCCCATCCCCACGCCCCCCAGCCGTCAGCCCCCTACGCCAGCAACATCACCTATTGCTCCTCGCCAATCTACGGCCAGTTCAACTCCCTCAGAGTGCTCGAGTGGGTGGTATACCACCAGCAGGGCCACGGGGTGGACCTGTTCCACATGTACAATGCGGGCGGCATGGGCGAGCCTATAATGCGGACGCTGGGTCCCTTTATAAAGGAGGGGCAGATGACTGTAACGGATGTGACTGAAGTGGACGAATTCGAGACGTGGTTCGGGCAGGTGAGAGGGAGTGGGCAGGCAAGAGGGGGTGGGCAGATGAGAGGGAATAGGCAGGTGAGAGGGGGAATTGGATTTGCGCCTTTCGGGTCGGTCCCTCTTCACCTCGTGTAGAGAGGGTGTTTTTGAGACGTCTCATTATAGTCCCTCTCAAAAACACCCTCTCTACACGTGGCCTTTCGGGTCCCTCTTCACCTCTCTCTGATCTCTGAAATACATTCATAGATGACAGACCGACCACCCACCCTCCTCTTCTCTGCCCACCTCCCCACTTCCTCTCCCCGCCCTTCAACCAGGTGCTAGTGGTGAACGACTGTGCCTACCGCTCACTCTTCACCTCCCGTTGGCAACTATCCCATCCCAACCCGCGGGGCACTCTTCCTGGGCTCTGACGAGTACCTCTACGTCTCCCAGCCCCTCGGCTTTGTCGGAGAAACAGCTCTGCCAGTCATTTGCCTTCCTTCTGGTTCTCTTCTTCTTCTCAGTTCCTTCTGTTGCCTCAGCCACTCTCTGCCCCCTCCTGTGCCCGTGCTCGAGCAGCTTGAGCGCGGGTCACAGGACCAGTACGCTGAGGCCCAGTCCCTCTAATCACAGCTGTGTTCGTCTGATGTTCCCTCAACAGTGCCCCTTTTTCATTTTCCAGGACCAGCACCCCAGAAGGGCGCACCTCCTTGACTTTCCAGCGCACTGTCCCCAAGCCCACATCCAGAGTGTCCTGCTTCGCTCTCCTCAGATAAACTTCCTGCCCTTCACAGACGCCCCGAGCCACTCTCCCCTCTCCCTTGCGTTGCCTCTGTTCGTATCTCCTGGCATCTCGCAGCTGTGCGGTGTGCAGATTCTCCAGTGCGGCCGGCATCATGAAGCGCATGTAGCGTGCTCTCACGTCGGACAAGGCTACCCAGTTCTTGATCGTGCCCGCTGTCACTGTGTCTGTCAAAACCCGCGGTGCCCCCACTGGCAGAATTGGCTCGCGTCCATAGAGTAAGCTGTAAGGGGAATGATCCCTCAGCGCTGCCTGCTTCCCGAATCTGTACCCTGCTGCTATCCAATCCAACTCATCATCCCAATCCCTCTTTCTCTGTTCCCCGTAGGCCCGCAGCCCTCGCTTAATGGTCTGCACTATGCGCTCAGTCAGGCCGTCGCTTTGCGGGTGGTAGCGGGAGGTACGTCGGTGCGTGATGCCAGACTCCTCCAGCAACTTCCTGAACTCCCCCTGGAACTCGGTGCCCTGATCTGTGAGCACCTCCCCGCACGCTCCAAATCGACACACTACCTGCGCCTTGAAAGCCGCTGCAATGTGCCTCGCGCTCTTGCTAGGGATGGCTCTCACCTCCAGCCACTTGCTCACATGCTCAACCATGAGCACTATGTACTGGTTCCCGCTCCTGCTTAGCGGCAGCTCTCCCGCTAGGTCCAGGGACCATCGGAACCCCAATCCACAGATTGGCAGTGACTGCAGCTCGGCCTTGGCCTGGGTAAGGTTTGCTTTGCTCCTCTGACATGCCTCACACCCCTCCACCCACTCTTTCACTTGCCTTCGCATCCCTTCCCACCACCAGCCTGTCTTCAGCAGGTGCACGGTCCTCTCATGCCCGAAATGCCCCAGCTTGGTGTGGACTTCTCTGATCACTGCTTCACGGTCCTTTGGCGCTGGCACCAGTTTCCAGCCATCCTCTGTCTTGATCTGCAGCTGCTGTTGATACCACCTGTAGTGGTGTCCTCGTGCCCTCACCCTTTCAGACACGGTCTCATCTTCCTCGGTCTCTCCCTTCACCCATTCCATTGCCTTTGCGTCCTGCCAGATGTCAGCAGGCCCCTTACTCCCCTTGGCACCGTCCTGCTCCACCTCTCTTGCCAGCAAAATCAAGGTGTGCGCTGGCTCCTGCTCTGTCTGTTCCATCCCCTGTGCCACCTGCTCCGTCTCCAGTGGCGGAGGGTTGCGGGAGAGACCATCAACATGCTGCAGCGTCTTCCCCGGCCTGTGCTTTATCTTGAAGTCGTATTCCTGCAGCTTAACTGCCCACCTCGCGTTCCTGCCAGTCAGCCCTGGTGTAGTCATCAGCCACGTGAGGGGCTGATGGTCAGTGACCAGGGTGAGTTCTCTGCCCTGCAGGTATACCCGGAAATGCCCCACTGCCCACACCGCCGCCAGCCCCTCCCCGATATACGAGCTGTACTGTGCTTCAGCCGGGTTACAGCTCCTGCTGGCGTAGGCCACCACCTTCTCCACTCCCTCCACCTCCTGGCACAGTATTGCCCCCATCCCCTGACTGCTCCAGTCGGTGTAAAGGATGAAGGGCTGGTCTGCTGCCGGCAGCCGCAGCACTGTCGCCGTTTTTACTGCTGTCATCAGATCTTGCAGCGCCTCCATCTGCTTCTCTCCCCATTCCCATGCCTTGTCTTCCCGCAGCATCCCGTTCAACAGCACGGCTCTCTTGCTGAAGTTAGGCACGAAGCGTCGGTAGTAGCTGAGGAAGCCCAAGACCGCCCGCAGTCCTGACTTGTCTCGCGGTTCCCTTAGCCTGTCCAGCACCTGCACCTTCGCTTGCTGGATCCCGATTTGCCCCCCTTTGACCTCATACCCCAAGTACTGCACTGTCTGCTCCCCCCATCTGCATTTGTTGGGATGACAGGTGAGCCCTGCCCCTTCTATGGCACTCAGTGTCCTCTCCACGTCTTCCAGGTGCTGCTGTTCGGTCAAGCTGAAGATCACTACGTCATCGATATAGCACGCCGCACGTTCTATTCCCCGCAGCACCGCATCCATGACCCTCTGGAACACTGCCGAGGCGTTCCTTGGAAGGCGGTTTTCCTCACATCCTCCTCTCTGATCTTGATTTGATTGAAGCCCTGCCGCAGGTCCAGCGTCGTGAAGAACACCCCGTCGGCCAATTTGTCGAAGAGTTCTTCAGCCATCGGCATGGGATATCTGTCCGGCACTGTGATTTTGTTGAGATCCCTGTAATCCCCGCACATTCTCCTGCTCAGCACCTCGCCTGTCAAGTCCTTCCTGGCTGCCACCACGGTAGGGGTTGCATATTCCGACTCTGACCTCCTGATCAGTCCAGCTTCCAGCAGCTCCTTTATCTTCTCTCTGCATATCTCCTCATCCCCTGGTGACATCTTCCTCCTGCGGTGGAATACGGGCTCATCACTGCTCAGCTTCAGTGCCATCTCTTTGATCTTGCACTTCCCCAACTCCTGCAGGGTGAAGGCGAAGCCCTTCCGATGCTTGACCAGCAGTGCTCGCATTGCTGCCTTCCCTTCCCCGCTCATGTTCTCACCTATCTTCCACTCTGGCTCCTCTTTCTCCAGGTAGGCCCACACCCCTTGTCTGACTGTTGCTACTGTGTTCTCTCCCTCCTTCAGTCCCCAGTGCAGCACTGTCTCTTTCCACATCCGCTGCACCAGCCATTTCATCATGTACCCATCCATAGCATTCCCCAATGCCCGCCTCCTTTCCTTCTCACTCACGCCAGGGGCTGCGGTGGCGTTCTCCTTGTACCCCATAGCCAGCTCCCTCTCCAACGCCGTGGGTTCTTCCCACCGTCCCTTCCTATGGTCTTGTACAAGTCTTGGGCCCGGCTGCTCCCCATCCATCCGATATCCTGCTGCCCCCTCGTATGACACCAGAGTGGGTAATGCCTGTCTCTCCTGTCCCACCTGGTTGCATGGGTAGTGTCTGCTGTAGCTCCTCTTGGTCACTGGTGCTGCAGTCCTTCCCGGCTCCAGGATGTCTCTCACCTTCCGCCCCCCTGCCCTCTGAACTCCCTCTATCTCCCTCTGCAGGTCTTCCGCTGGCACCACATTTTGCCAGTACATCCTAAGCCTGTGTGCGTACGCTCCCATCCGTGCTGCATCGCTGCTCACCCCTTTGCCCATTTGCCTCGTTACTCTCTCCCTTACCAGTCTTACTGGTTCTCGTACATCTCCTTCCATGTCCAGGTGCTCCAACAGGTAGGCCAGTCTGCCCTGCCTAACCTGCACCCACTCCATAATCTTGAACAATTCCTCCATCAGTTTGGTCCTGGGGTCTTGCTCACCCTTGCCCTTTCCTGCCCAAGATACCCCTTGGCATTCCCACCCTGCTACTAGTAGGTCCACGTGCCCCCAGCTTGCCACTTCAGTTTCCGTGATTGCTCTTACATCGTTCACTCCCCTGCTCATTGCTGCCTTGATCACCTCTCCCTTCAGCAGCTCCGGAAACTCTCTGTGCAACTCCCACGCATGATGCTCTGCTATTTTCCTCACTTCCGGTGCCTGCTCCACGTAAATCCACTGTTTCACTGCTATTCCGTTTCGCACCACTGCTGCCAGTCCCGCCCCTATTCCCCCGAACAGTTCCACCAGCCGGATGGGTTGTTGCCAATCGGTCTGTTGGCTAGGCTCATCCATGAAGCGCATCCTGGGCTCCCCGCCTTTTCCTCTGCCAGCTGCTCTCTCTTGTGCCCCCTGCTTCGCCGTCACTTCTTTCTGATCTACACGGTAGGCCCGCTTCGGCTCTGTCTTCACAAACTGCACCGGCAGCTGCCCCAGCGGTTCACCCTTCCTCCACCACCTAGTTCGGAACTCCACTGTCTCTTTCCAAAAGCAGATGGTCATGCCCAACGCGAAAATCATCTCCGTGCCCACCAGCACATCGAAATCTTCGGACTCTGAAATCCCGCACCTGATTCTGACTGGCGTTTCGTGTTTCTCTCCTTTGAGCACTGTTAGCTCTATCGGAGTCCTCGTGCAGGGCATCCATTTTGACTCTCCTCCCTCTGCCGTCATCACTAGCATTCCCTTCACCACGTGTCTGTTGTTAGAAATAGTCAGTCAACACTTTGTACTATATTCTATATCGGTTAGGTTACTTTGTAGGTTGGGTGTAGATTTGTAATCCCAACCCTATCTGGTTGGGATTCCCTCGTAATCCTGCAAATCTGCCAACTCACCAATTGGAGATTTGCTAGGATTCCCATCCCATCCTCTCCCTAGCTTTGCTCAACCCAACCGTGTTTGTACTTAAGGCCTCGTGCCTTCCTTATCAATCAATCAGTTAAGTTCCAATTCTATCATCTGTCCGGTGCCCACAGTCCTAGTTTCTCGGCCATCCCCTTCCCTAGTATAACGCTCTGCGCGCCGGTGTCTATGATTGCTGTCTTCGCCTTCTCCCCCTCCACTGTCAGCGCGCCGCCTTGGATCAGCAGCACGGAGGTCTGGCACGCCAACCTCTCCTGGGGGTGGCGTGCAGTTGTGCAGCTCTCTCCCTTTTCTTCCGGTTTCTGTCCTTTCTCCCGTTCCTTCCTCACCTGCTCTCTCCGTGCATCCTTTCCTCCGCTACGCAGCCCCATCTCTTCCCTTCCTCGCCATGCCATGTAAGCTGGTTGTTCTTCATACTCTTCCTCATCCTCTTCTCTTCCTCCCCAAGCCATGAGCGCTGCCTTCTCTTCCTGCTCCACATCTTCCTCCTCCTCATCTCTGGCGTACATTCCCGCCTCCGCTTCGCGTCGTGGTCCCATGGCCTGCAGCTGTGCTTGCAGCCTGCTGATCTGCTTCTCCAGATCTTCTGGCGTCTTCTTCGTCGCTCCCTCTCGCTGGTAGCAATCCTTTGCTGCGTGCCCTCCCTTCCCACAGATTTCACACTTCGGCGCCGTTGGACATTCCCGCCGCCGGTGTCCTGGTTTGCCGCAGGAGTCGCAGTTCTTGCAGTCCCTGCGAAGGTGTCCCGGCTGCCCGCATCTGTGGCACGTCCGCGTGTCTGGCCTGTTCTCCCCTCTAATCGTTGCCTTGTCCTTCTCTTCTGGTATCATGGCTGCTGCCCACGTTGGTCCCCTGCCTCGCTCCGCTGGTCGGGGCCGATATGCTTCATATTTCCTCTGTGCCAGCTCCATTTTCTCTGCCATCTCAAACACTTCGTCTAGCGTTGTATCTGCCCCCATCTCGTACACCTTCATCTGCAGCCCGCTCCCCAAAGTACCCTCCAGCCCGTCCATGAATTTGCTCACAAGTAGTCCCATGTCGGCGCATGTCACATCCTCCGCCAGGTTGACCAGCCGGTTGTAGTAGGTAAGCAACGACTCACCCCGCCCCTTCCTGAAATCCTGGAATTCCCTTATCTTCTCCGCGGTGTGCCCTGGGAACTGCCACTGCAGCCGTTTCAGGAATGCTTCCGTTGGGTCTTCCCCGTACCTCCCTGCCCTCTCCAGTAGCTCATCCATCTTCATCCTGTATAATGTCTCTGCCTCCCCTTCCAGTGTATTCGGCAGACTCAGGAAGAAGTCCACCGAGTCCATGCCGCTCCTCTCACATCTGTACCGCACATTCCCCACTTGCATCAAGTAGTTCTTGAGCGTGGGCCCCAAGCGCTGATCTCCTGAGAAGCGCGCTGGCACTTCCACCCTCGTGGCCATGGTTGTGTTTCCCCGACCTTCCCCCCACATCTCGCTTGGCCCTCCTGCCGATCTCCCTGGTGCTCCTCTCTCTCTCGCCCGCTGCATTCCTTCTCTTGCCTCTCTGGCTCGCTCCAAGCTGTGCATCAGCCCGCTGCCTCCCGCTCTGCTGCCGCGTTGATCCTGTCCTCCTTCACCGGCACGTCTTTCGTCACGCTGCCGATACCGACCAGGCGAGCGAGACCCACCGCCCCGCCTTCCATCCCTGCTTCGCTGCCGCTGCGGCGAGCGGTATCCGCCTCCCCGGCTTTCCTCATGTTGCTGGCGCCAATCCGGCGAGCGAGCCTCGCCTCCCCACCTCTCTCCATGGTGCCGTTGCGTGTCAGGCGAGCGATAGCCACCTCCACGTCTCCCATCACGATAGGGATGCGGATCTGGTGAGCGCGAGCCCCCTCCGCTCCTCCCGCCGTGATACCTCCGCGGATCTGGCGAGTGCGTACTGCCTCCGCGCCCTCCGTCACGGCGCTGCCGCGGATCTGGCGAGCGGTAGCCGCCTCCGCGCCTCTCGTCATGCAGCGGCCGCGGATCTGGCGAGCGGTAGCCGCCTCCGCGCCTCTCGTCACGCAGCGGCCGCGGATCTGGCGAGCGGTAACTGCCCCCGCGCCTCCCTTCAAGCGGCTGTCGCGGATCTGGCGAGCGCGCGCTGCCAGCGTGCCCCCCGTCGCGGTGCTGCCGCGGGCCTGGCGAGCGCACGCCGTCGCCGCGCCCTACATCACGGTGCTGCCGCAGATCGGACACGCGCACCTCGCCTCCGCGTTTCTCGTCACGCTGCTGACGCGAATCCGGTGAGCGCGAGCCACTGCTACGCCTCCCGCCGTCGTTCTTCTCTTCGTCGCGCGGCTGGTTCCGAGCACCATTCTTTCCGTCCGCCTTCACCGCGCTTGGCTCCGCCGCCACGCCCGCCTGCGTCGGATCGGCCTCCTTGACTCCAGCGGGCATATCGCGCTGCTCGCCTGCGCCTTCCTCCTGGGCTTCGTCATCGCCCTTCGCCTCGCCTTCGCGATTCGTTTCCTGCGCCTTATTCGCCGTGTCGGCCTCGTCCTCTCCGTCAACATCGAGGTCTCCCTGCCGACCAGAGAATAATTCCTCCAGGCCACGCCCGCGACTCCGATCTTCGCGACGGCGGTAACCATCTTCCGGCGAGCGATACGCTCCCGTGTCCTGGCGATACCCATGATCGTCACCAGCTCCGTGGCGCGCATCCGTCCGCCACGGGTCACTTCCCATCCTGGCGGACTCAGATCCGCCTCTTCCTTCTCGCTCGGCTCCTTCTCCCCGGCGATCTGGCGCGAGAGGGACCAGATCTGCGCGAAAGGCCGGCCTCCGCGGCGAGCGCTCAGGCCTCCGCGGCGACCTCTCCAACGAACGCCCGCGCTCACGTGAGCGTTCGCGCCGCGAGCGATCATCCTCACGGCGACCATAATTCCTGCCATAACGCAGCTCGTACACATCCATGCTTGTACGCGCACCTTTCCGCTTGTTATGAAAGAATAAAGCTCTCACCCCCACGGGTCCTCCCTGAGTGGTGTGCCACCTAGCTGCAAAGGTAAGGTAACAACGTTCCACTATACGAAAGGATAACAAGCGGAAAGCATCGGGGTGTGTGAGAGAGTGAATTTACCTGGCCCAGGCTCGAACCGTGCATTTCTCAATGTGCGGCTCGAGCCTGGGTTGGTTCATTCACATTGGTCGCGTGGATTTCCCCCTTGGTGCTCTCCTACCAACCTCGCGTCAACTTCCCTGGTCCCCCAACTACCTATCCTCGAAAGTGCATACTCAACATTGCTACACCAGAACTACACCTCAACATAACTGGCACCTTATATGCACAACCGTGCATATTCGGTGACAGCTTCTTCTGTGCCTATCTCTCCCTCCGCCTGCTCCCCTCCCCTCCCTCTCCCCGCCCTTCAACTAGGTCCTAGTGGTCAACGACTGTGCCTATCGCTCTCTCTTCACCTCCCGCTGGGTGCTCTTTCCTGGTCTTGGACGAGTATCTCTATGTCTCACCGTCCTCCAGATTCTCCTGCACCTATCTGCCTCTTCTCACCACCTTCTCTTCCCTCCTCTCCCCGCCCTTCAACTAGGTCCTAGTGGTGAACGACTGCGCCTACCGTTCTCTCTTCACCTCTCGATGGGTCCTCTTTCTGGACTTGGACGAGTACCTCTACGTCTCACAGCCCCTCGGCTCTTCTCTCATCACCGCGCTCGCGCACTACGAGGTGAGTCTGATGTGCGTCCACTTAGTGTTTGCCATTACCTCACCTCTCGCTGGGTGCTCTTCCTGGGCTTGGACGAGTACCTCTATGTCTCACAACCGTTGGGCTCGTCCCTCATCACCGCACTCACTCTCTACGATGTGAGTCCTACTCCCGATGGGTGCTCTTCCTCGACTTGGATGAGTATCTTTACTTCTCGCAGCCCCTGAGGTCGTCCCTCATCACCGCACTCGCTCGCTACGAGGTCAGTGTGCTTCCTATCAACTCGCTCGCTCGCTCTTCACCTCCCGATGGGTGCTCTTCCTGGGCTTGGACGAGTACCTCTATGTCTCACAGCCCCTCGGCTCTTCCCTCATCACCGCACTCACTCGCTATGAGGTGCGTCCGATGCTCTCCCTTTGAATCTTTACCGCCTGCTCCCGGTGGGTGGTCTTTCTAAACCCTGGGCACTTGTGCCAGGATGATTGTCTTTCATGGTGTCTCATCAGCGCCCTCTTCCAAGAGAAGAGTGCTCTGCCTGAATCATCAGCGGCTGCTCCTCGACTCCTCTCTTGTGCGGCCTCTCTTCTCCTCCCCATTTCTCACTTTCTCCCTCCCTCCCATACGCAGCAAGCTGCCTATGTGTCATTCGGCAGTCTCTATTTCTACACCGACAAGTGCTCGCACTCCCTGAACGTCTCCGCTATTGGGGCAACTATCCCATCCCATCCCTCTTATACCCGCCCTCCTCTTTGCAGGAAGCAGCCTATGTGTCATTCGGCAGTCTCTATTTTTACACCGACAAGTGCTCGCACTCTATGAACGTGGCAGGTACTGGTGTAACCAAAGCAACCCATACCTCTTTTGCCCCCTTCCCCTCCCCCGTTCCCCTGTTCCCCACGCAGCAAGCGGCCTACGTGTCATTTGGGAGTCTCTACTTTTACACGGACAAGTGCTCGCACTCCATGAACGTCTCTGCCTCATCGCCCCCCCGCTGGGAGGTGGAGAGGATGATTTTCCGCCAGGCCGACGTGCACTGTGTGGCGCCCAAGCGCTACGAGTCCCGCGACATGTGCCTGGGGTTCGATGGGCACAGGAAGTATGTTGCCGACCCGAGGAAGGTCAAGCTATTCGGGGTGAGTGGAAAAGGGCAGGGCAATCTTTGGAACATCTGTCTGTCTGGAAGGTAGACAGGCTGACGTGCACTGTGTGGCAACCCCCTCACTGGGAAGTGGAGAGGATGATTTTCCACCAGGCTGACGTTCACTGTGTGGCACCGAAGCGCTACGAGTCAAGAGACATGTGCCTGGGGTTCGATGGGCACCGGAAATATGTGGCTGATCCAAGAAGGGTCAAGCTGTTCGGGGTGAGTGAGTCAACTGGGTCCTGTTACGGATGTGTGGGAGGGAGCCAGCTGGGAGGTGGGGAGGATGATATTCCGCCAGGCCGACGTGCACTGTGTGGCGCCCAAGCGATACGAGTCGCGAGATATGTGCCTGGGTTTCGATGGGCATCGGAAATACGTTGCGGATCCAAGAAAGGTCAAGCTGTTTGGGGTGAGTGAACAGGGGTTGCTTGGTTGTTGTCTGGAAGGGAGACGATTAGAGAGGATGACATTCCGCAAGGCAGATATGCACTGTGTGGCGCCACGAGTACTGAGACTTGTGCCTTGGGTTTGATGGCGGATCCCAAGAGAGTCAAGCTGTTCGGGGTGAGTGGGTCAACAGGGGTGGTGTGTGGGGTGCTATACCGCATGCATTCAGAGCATTCTCAAGCCCCTTTCCTTTCTTTTCCACCCCCCCACATCACCACGCTGACCTCCAGATTCATGCAGTGGCCAAAACGTGGCCCCTTCCAGCCCCAACAGCAGGCCTACCTGTCCTATTGCTCTCCAACAACACAACCACCACCAGCAGCACCGCCACCAGCAGCAGCGCCACCAGCAGCAGCGCCGCCACCACTCCAAACAGCACCGCCAGTACCATCAACAATTCCACCACCGCCAACACCACCGATTCGACTATCCTGGCAGGCAATCCCTCGCCTGCGGCTCCTCTCCCTCCGGCACGCATGCCCGGGGTAGACATGCATGTTAGGGACGTGCATTTGAATCACTACCGGGCGCTCAACACGAGAGCTATCCGTTCGTGCACGCAATTTATCCACGACACTGACTGGACTCCTGTGTCGTGGGCTAGAGACTTCTCCCTGTCGCATGCTGCTGTGGCTATAAGGAAGAGATGTCCCCCTCTGCCTCCTGCATACATGTAGACAGTAGACTGCCGTAATAGCCTCTGCCATCCCTGCAGCTGACTCCCTTCATTCTCAGCACCACAGGGACCTACACGTGAGGGACGTCCATTTGAATCACTACCGGGCGCTCAACACGAGAGCTATCCGTTCGTGCACGCAGTTTATCCACGACACTGACTGGACCCCCATGTCGTGGGCTAGAGACTTCTCGCTTTCCCACGCTGCTGTGGCTGTGAGAAAATCCTCCCCTCCCTTACCTCCCGTGTACATGTAATCACCACCACAAGCAGCACCAGCAGCAGCACCACCACCCCCATCCGCTGGGGGGGGCATATTGCACCCCTGTTGTGGACCCAAGACTTCTAGCTTTCCCATCCTGCTGTGGCTATAAGGAAACGATCCCCCCCTCTGCCTCCTGTGTACATGTCGACTGCAGTAATATCCTCTGCCGTCCCTGCAGCCGATACCCCCTCCGTCTCAACACTACAGGGACGTGCAGCTGAACCACCATAGGCGTTTAATATAAAATATTAGCCTGTTTTGTTTTTTTAACAGGTTCTAGCTTTGCTGTGCGTCTACATTACCGTATATCCCACCGCACCCTCGGATCGTAATAAGTGTGCATACTTACATGGCTCGGGTGGCGTCAAATTGAGGACGGATGTCTTGTTGGAGGTACCGTACGGTATATCCTTGTCAACATAAGTTCCATTTGTAAGTTGCTGCGATCACAAGTTAGATCGCCCCTAGGATCACCTCGGGAAGGTTCGCACAGAGTGTGGTAGTGGTAAGCCCTTGACCTCAAATCAGAGTGAATGTAAAATGATTGAGATGATCTAAAACATGCAAATACAAACGTAGAAATAAGAGTACAAGGTGGAATACGAAAAGACCTAATTAGCCATGTACTCTAAGGGGTACATTCCCTTATTACAACGAAACCCAACCGTGCGACTCCAGACTGTTACGAACTGCTCGGGCTGAATCCTCGCCACTACTGCTGCCTGATGCTGTCTGCCCTGACGGTCCAGATGCCCCGTAACCGTGCGACCCTTCGCGTCATTCCTGTTAGAGAAAGGATCCTTGGATAGGATAAGAATTGCCTTAGAGAGTTGGTAGCGGAAGACTTGTTGTAAGAACCTTGTGCATAGTGGATGTAAATGACAAAGTTGATTAAAGCATAGATTACACACAAATAAATAATCCTATCTAGCCATGTACTTTGAGGAGTACATTCCCTTATTCTAACTGTTTTACAAGCAGTTCTACAGTGACTGACTATTGCTCTTCTTGCTTGTTACCGAGTCGTTGCGTGTAACCGTACAGACGGTTACGCCTGTTGCCATTCGTCGATGGTGAGTCAATCGGTCGAGATGGTCAACAGTCGCGACAGTTGACTTTGCGACTGTTGACCTTCCTGCCCATGTTACAGGCTGATCCAATACGCTGCTTCGAAAGTGACGGGTGCGATACAGCTGCACCTACGGGAATGCTAACTTGATTCCCTTCATACTCCAACACTCCCCTTCATTCCTGGAGGTGCGCCACGTGGCTCTTTAGGACGACTCCGCACAGGTCCGAGCAGTACTGGAATTTCTGACGTGGCAGTTTCTTCGTCAGAAAATCAGCTGCCATTTCGCCAGTTGGGCAATAGGTGAGCTGGACCTTCCCTTTGACGATTTCGTCCTTGACGAAGAAGTAACGCAAGGCGATGTGTTTCGTGCGGTTGACGAAGCCGGTTTTGTTCGCGATCTTGATCGCGCTCTGGTTGTCGCACAGTAACTTGAAAGATCCGTTCATCGCCGTCTTCGTTTCCTGTAGGAGCCCCGTAAGGTAGAGTCCTTCACGAACTGCTGCGCTTCCTGAGATAAATTCTGCTTCTGCTGACGAAAGGGCGATGAGCTCTTGCTTCTGTGAGTTCCAGGAGATGGTTCCTGCAGGATTGAGTTTGAAAATAAAGCCTGCGCGGGACCTTCTGTTGTCTGCGTCCCCAGCGTGATCAGCATCCACGTAACCGGTGAGTTGTAGGGTAGCCGTTAGATTCGCCGTATAGGTAAGGCCGATATTGGGTGTAGAGACAAAGTACCGTAGAGCACGTCGCAGGTCCGCCATATTCTCCCCTTCAGGTCGGCGCAGATACTGGGCGAGCTGGCTGGCGATGTAGGATAGGTCCGGGCGGCATGTAACGGCAACGAACAGTAGACATCCGAGCTGCCGCTGATAGAGACGATGGTCGGCCGGGGAGAGAGGGGCGGTGTCGGGCTCGTGGTTAGGCGGAGGAGTGCGGAATTGGGTGGTAATGCCAACGGGAGCGATGCCGAATTTCTTGGCAAGGGAGTCGGCGAATTTCGCGGCGGAGAGGTGGATTGTCTCGGCGGTCTGAGTAACGTTGAGGCCAAGGAATTGAGTGACATCGTGATCGATGGTCACTTTGAGCTTCTCTTTGATGTCGCGTTCGCAGCAATCAAGCAGCTCCGTGTTGTCCCCAGTGTAGAGTAAGTCGTCCACGTAGGCGACGAGTAGGATGAAGATGCCGCGGGACTCAAGACGGTACATCCCCTGATCGTGGGGAAGCTATTGGAAGCCGAGCTCGATGAGTACGGTGTGGAGGTACTGCTGCCATAGGCGTGGCGCCTGCTTGATGCCGTACAGGGACTTCTGGAGAAGGCAGATGGCGTCGCCGTTTTCCTCGAAAGCGTGTGGCTCCTCGACGTAGGTTATGGCGTCGACGATCTTGTAGAGGAATGCGTTTGACACGTCGATTTTCCGTAGTGGACGCTGTTTCACGGCTGCAACGCAGAGGAGGATGCGGACAGAGGTGTGATGGCCAACAGGGGCAAATGTCTTGTCATAGTCCACGAACTGGGTCTGTTTGAAGCCGCGGACGACCCAGCGTACTTTGTACTTGTCAACGATCCCGTCCGCCAGTGTTTTGATTCTAAAGACCCACTTCCCTGTGAGAACCTTTCTCCCCTTTGCGTGTCGTCATGGTACCAGCTTCCAGGTGCCACGCCGCTGTAGTGCAGCAACTTCTGCGGCCATGGCGGCTCTCGACTTCTCAGCATCGGGCCCGCTAAGAGCCTGGCGAACGGTGGTGGGCTCGACCAGCTGGTGGTTACCCCGAACGGCGACAGCGAGTCCGAGGATGCGAAGGCTTGTGAGGTTGGATTCAGCTGCGTTGGTAACTTCAACCACGTCGTCGTCGTCCCCAGGGATGTCGCGAACGGTGTCGCGAGAAGAGTTGCGAGCTGGGTCTTCGTCCATGGGTGAGTGTATTTCTGCACTTGCATAATCGTGCTGTCCCTGTACTGCTTCGTGTTGATCAATTTCCGTTGGGAAGAAAGTTGTTGTCCCGAACTCCTCCATAGCGGGTATGAAGGGTGCCTCTTCCCCAGTTGCCTCGTTTGGCTGTTCTCCTGCCACGTCGACATCATCCTCGTCATTAGCGTAGCCGTGCCGCCCTTGGAAAATGTTGTCCGGTGCGTTTTGTGCAGTGCGGTGCTATCGGTACAGTGGCAGGGTCAGTCTTTCGTAGAAGATGCACTCACGTGAACGCGTGAGCTGGTGGGTGGCAAAGTCCAAGATTGTCCAGGCGTGGTATTCGGATTCAATTCCGAGGTGAATACCCCACCGAGCGCGGTCTTCAAATTTTCCGGTCCGGGCAGTGTGGGGGCGGTACTGTACCATGCACCCGAATATCTGCAGCATGCGTGTGTCGGGGTGTTTGCCAGTCCATTCCTTGAAGGGTGAGGTGTTGTTGGGTAGTGCTTTCGAAGAAAGCATGTTATGCAGCCGAACTGCATGCGCCATCGCGAAGGGCCAATATTTGGTTGGCATAGCTGACTGCTTCATGAGGTTTCACATTTTTGTCACGAGGCTCCTGTTGGTTCGCTCCGCCAACCCTTGCTGCTCGTGAGCGTAGGGGAGGGAAATCATC